TTTTGGACAAACTAGCTTATCGATATCTTAAAAACTAGCAATACTAATGCTAACATCTAAAAAAAATTATTTTAATTTTATGGGACCTTTAAGTGTACCTTGCATAGACTCAATTATAATTTACTTAATTATTACAGCTCATATGATGACTTAAAGTGGTTCAAATGAAGTAAATATTTAAATTACATGTTTTGGTGGACTTCACACTTACAGCTGTGCACGCTGTCTGTGAAGTGAGTTTTTTATAGATCACAACCTTTGTGTGGGAAGTGGCATACGCATGTTTCCACTTCCGTTTTTGTGCATGCACCCTGTTTATATATGAGACCTCTTTGTCAGGTTTTTTAAGGACACATTCTATGTTAATCAAACTATTAACATAATTGAGCAATTCCAGCATTATGGATGTGATATTAGCAGTAAAAACAAAACATAAATTCACAGAGAAAGTTTAAGTTAACATTATATTGAAACATCCGGTTATATTTTCCAAAACAACCAAGCACTAAGTTATGGGATCAGAAAAATATCAATCTGTAAACATTTTTATATTTTAAATAAGGAAATTAAACATTTGTTATGGATGTGACCAAAAAGTATGCAAGTTTGCAGTGTACAACATACTTTGTAGAAATTCTGTGAATTAAACTGCACAACTTAAAAGAAATAATGCTAATCAAAGGATAAGAGTCGGCTCACTATAAAACAAAAATGACTGATTTTATTTTATTTAACATTATTGCATGTATGAGAAAAAGGCTTCGTTATGACACTGGTGGGACTTCAAAATTGATTATGGTTTGAAAACATTGACAGCAACATTTCTGATATATTTACAGTACTTTAAAGGGCCATGACCCCAATCCCCCCTTTAAAATACTTGCTTACACAGAAAACTTGCATATCAGGAAAAAGCAGCTGTTTTTAAAAACTGTTAAAACATCTTAGGGGTTTCATATTTGTGAGACATATGAAGTGCGAAGATGTCCAAAATGTGGAGTAAATGTGTAGAATGTAAAGGCAGGAGTGGCTCTGCTGACCTTTGTCTGTTATTGTTTCCCATCAGAGGCCTCATCACGCACATGCCCTGTTTGACTTCAATCCAGAGCACAACTCCCAGCTGCACTTCCTGCGGGGTGATGTCATAGACCTGCTGGACTGCTCTGATTCCCAGCGCTGGAAAGGTCGCTGTCGTGGCCGCGTGGGCTTTTTCCCTCCTGAGTATGTCCAACCCATTTATCACTGACTCTGAAGGACAATAACAACACTGCGTGTACATATCAGTAGTAAATTGCAGGCTTATTGTACTGGTTTGATATGATGGGAACGATCAAGCTGAGTGTGTTTAAAAATGACTTTGGGACGAGCAAACAGAAATGTTACTAAAACACAATCATGCTATTGACACTACAATAACACCTTTCAGGTTTTTCAGAATTCTCACAAACCCTCAACTTCACTATACAAAACAATATGCTTTAGCGTATTAAAATGAAAACGGAGAGTCTGATTTTTCTATTAATACAATCTCTTCACTGCACTTTGCTTACAAAGTTTGGATATTGGCTCTAATACTTTCATAATCAAATGATTTATTTATTATTACACATATTTCCTCTGTGTATATATATACTGTAAATATATATGTTGTTGATAGCTGTTGTCTGATTTTCCTTTAATGATGTAAATGTTACCATTATGATGACTGAGTATGAATGTGTGAAATGAATACAAATGAAAGTTAATATGTACATGTCAGTCCTTTTGATATTCCACATTCATTTTTTTTTCTCCAATGGAACTTTTACAGTATTTGTTTAATTTCAAACATTGTTGGGTATATTAAAAGGCACCTTTGATGAAAATCACCTTTTGTAAGCTGTTTGGACAGAATTATGTGTAGGTATAGTGTGTCCACATTCATACTGGGGTGATATAAAGACAATAAGCCTCTTTTTTAAAATTTCCTAACGTTAAAATAGCATCCAAATCCCTCCCATTTTGAGACCCACTACAACGTGATGTAGAAATGCGTTTTTTTCACTGCCCACCGAATTGATTGACAGATGTATTAACATGTCTCCATAGTATATATGGGCATATAATCAGGGCTTAATTTGTGCCGGAACAACCTCATTTTACTGCTACCCTCCTTACATGCACCTCTTGTTGTGAATCTCGAGGTCCCAGAACAGATCGGGGTAACGGATCCGGCATGCTACCCGAGGATGTAGAGGTGTCGCGCATGAAAGTGGAAAGAAAGTGGGGGGTAGAGAAATAGTGGGGCGTTGGATAGTGGAGAGGTGTAAGAGCCGTGAAGTAAGTTAAGAGCTGGGGCGGGGGATTGTAGTTGCAGACGAGAGTGAAGAGGGTTGGGGGGTCACGAAAAGAATACAGCGGACGGGGGAGGAGGGGGAGAAGGGGAATCAATAAAAATAAGGTGCTGGATCAGATTTCAGAGGTGCTGGATCCGGCGTGTTCTGGCACAAATTAAGCCCTGGATATAATCATATTAACAAGACAGGACGAGCGCAAAGCAACCGGGATTAAAAGATCTGTTCAGCTCTCTGTGACCATCAATCATTATCAAATGTCATCAAGAATGAGTTTTACAAGTTTAAAAAGTTTTTAAAACAGTGCATGTGTGTAATGAATTACAGCGATTTTATCTTCTTTTACATCACAGCCGCATATCAGTACAATTATAAAAGAAGACGATTCAATCCTGGCTTATGGACGTTAAATCAGGTTTATTTTGTACATTAACATTACAGATATCTATAGAACAGTGGATATTAACGTGTATCCTGTTACATTTGCCATGCAAAAACAATGCAAAGTTAAATGCTGCATTTGTGTGTCTGTGTGACTGCGTGAACTTTGTAATGGCATTGTGTGTGACTCATCGTTGCAACTCCACAACAAATACATCAAATATTAATTGGGAAAGTTCTTACTGTAGTATTTCTCACAAACATTACACGAGATCTGCTTCCTTCATGTCTGTCACTGTGCTTTTTATCTGATGCAGCCAAGGTGGAGATTGAGGCACACTCTGACAGGCACGCTGGAACGGTGTGTAGGGAGAACTAGCATTTAAGGCACAGCCACCAAAAAAAGCTACATGGTCTACAGAGCAGAAAAACTAATTTTCTGAAAGATATAATAAATAATCTGATGGGTGTTTGAGCTGAAGCTTTACAGACACATTCTGGAGAGACAAAAGACTTCTCTTAAATCGTGAAAAGGAGGTAAAATAGGTGCTCTTTAAAGTCCGCATGAACCGGAAGCTGCGACCTTTATTTTTTTCATTTTGTAATGCAGCTCCTAGAGAAACGGAATATAAAATGTGTAAACAGTGGGCGTGGCTTGTTTTTCTACAGCGAGCTGAATGGATGTAGTAAAGTAGACATCTCATTCAGAAGGATCGGGGGAAAAAAGTTGGGGTAGAGTTATTACAACCTAACAGACACTGCATTGCAAAAGATGCCAAAGACATTTAAGTGCAAAACAGGAATATCGCATAAAAGACGTGCGAATAAAGCAGCGTTTCCATCAAATGAGTTAAAGAGAACAAAATCGTTACTTGCTGAGTTACTGGCATCAAATGTTAAAAGTAAAAGCAAAATTTGCTGCGGTAGAAGAAGCTGTGTCGATCTTTTTATTCATTTAATACTAAATTCTGCGCCTCAGAAGACGATGCCGACACACAATGAACACGCGTTCGAAGGCATGAGACGCAGAGCACAGACGCTCTTGTCAGTTCTGGAGGTCATTAATAATGTAATAACACTAATACCGAAAGGATTATGGTGTTTAAGAATGACCGAAACAACATTTCAGATGTTTTACAGTGTGCTCAGCCTGCTGGTTTGTCCATTCCTAGACATTTTTATATAACAGGATCTCATAACAAAATCACATGACTTTTTTAAATGGTAAAAGTGTTTCATTTATAGTTTAGGTGCATCTTTTCATATGTTTTTTATGCACATTTTTAAAACTTATGCGCATCATGTCGTTTCCATCAATCATTTTTATGCATGCACATAAACGCACATAAAAGTAGGTGGATGGAAACATAGCTACTGACAGTTGGAGGTGTGTGGTTAAATATGTTAGCATATTCCTAAAATATACATAATCTGACAATTAAACTGTAAAAAAACAGAAAGTGCATTTTTGGATTTCAATTTAAAATCAGAAGGGCAAACTATTTTTTCCCTTAATGACATTCACAAATGAATTGTTCACCACAAAACTAGCAATGTGAGCTGACAAAGTTATATGGCTAGTTTTTATTTCATGTGGACTTTAATAGCAAAATTAACTAAATACTTAAAAAATATGGTCAGTAATCTAAATTCCTTAGTTTGGTTAAGTAATTACTTTTGAATTGCTTTTAACTACTTTCAACCTATTTGTTCCCAAATTTAATAGCTTGAAATGCAGATGTGATCGTTCTATAATTTAGTCACATTGTGGGAATAATTTGTTGTGATTTGATTCATTTTAAAAACATTAAAATGTAGTACAGTGGCTCAGTGGTTAGCACTGTCGCCTCACAGCAAGAAGGTCGCTGGCTCAAACCCTGGCTGGGTCAGATGCCGTTTTTGTGTGGAGTTCACAAGTCCTTCCCGTGTCCAAAGACATGTGGTATAGATTAATTGGATAAGCTAAATTGGTCATCATAGTGTATGTATGTGAATGAGTGTGTATGGATGTTTCCTAGTGCTGCGTTGCATCTGAAAGGGCATCCGCTGCATAAAACACATGCTGGATAAGTTGGCGGTTTATTCCGCTGTGGCGACCCCTGATAAATAAAGGGACTATAAAGGAAAAGGAATATAAAGGAAATAAAATGTAAAGTAATTGCCAGTATGCAACATTTCTGGAATCACATTATGTAATTCAGATTAGCCTACATGTAATAGATTAACACACATGCATCTGATCTGAACATCCCCTTTTTGATACATTAACATAATTTAACACATTATATTACCAATATTTACACAAATTACATTATTATGGTGTTTAAAAAGCTAATTCACGTCAACTCATTTAAAAGATTTCAAAAGAATCAGTGACACTCTGAAATGTATTGTGGCTAAACCACAGGCAGCCTTTCTGGGTCATCTGTCACTTCAAAATGAATGACTGCAGTATTAGGTGCTGTGTGTGTACAGTTAACAATAATACCAAATACTTACAAGACCAGCACGACGCAGCAGCTTATTTTACTGCCTAACTGCTGTGAAAGTATCATGGTATGTTTGAACCAATGGTTTGAACTCATGGAAAACAGCAATCTCTAAAAGTTTGATAACGCCGAGTTCTCTCGTTGGTTGTTAGTCACGTGACTGAGGTGTGCACGCTCACCTGCTTAACTTGAGCATTTGTCGTGAACACGCATAATAGAAAGTATTGCTGACAGGATCAACCAGATGAGCAGAGGTGACTCAAGGAACCGGATCTAACATTGTTTGCGTACGTCTTTTTTAATATACGAAATTTTAATGAGTGGTTTCAACAGTTAAACTGTACCTGTCAATAACAAAACTATGTTAAATGCTGTTTAAAATACAACTGAGCTCAAGTAATGGCACTGTCACAGGTCCAGTGCCTTGATGACAATCACATCAACGCGCGCACTAATGAGTCCAAGCCGGAGTTTTTGTACAGTGAAGGTCAGAGACTCGCGTTGGAGACACTGATCCACGCCGGACGGGACGCTTTTGAGGACTACATCAAAACAAACAGCATCCGCTGCTTTCTGTCGGACCTTGAGCTTGAGAGGATTTTCGGGACCGCGGAGGTTTATTCCCCGGGATCTCCTCAAAATAATGCTGAGGTTTACTGGGAAGGTGATGGGGAAGAGATTTCCCTACAGTACTGGCCCGACCGCTCGGACCGCTCCATCCCGCAGCTGGATATCGGATGGCCGGACCGGGCGTCCTACCGCGGGGTGACCCGTGTTCAGGTGTACACTCAACCCCCTTATGAGGGACAGTCACATATTAAAGGGGTCGTGAGAAAAATGATCGGCCAAGCACAGAAGGTAGGTGATGAATGTTTTATGAGGGGATGATTTTTGTTGTGACTCAGCTCTGGTGAATAAGACAGTACTGTTCAAAGTACAGTGGGCATGTAGAGATCTACACGTGTGCTCGAGCTCATAAAACAGGCTGATGTCATATATATTTTTGAGTTGTAGGGCTGGGCACCGCTGGAACTTACTAACTAAAGATTTAAACACTTCATAGGCTATATGGGGTTTAAAGCAGCACATCAATAAACAGCCTTAGTATTATTACCACATAATCAACCATGTAGGCTACTGTTTTAATTTTGTTTTCTGAGCTCCTCCAAATTTGAATGTTATACATTTTAAACATTATTTACAGAAATAAAGTGTAATAGTATACAAAAAAGGTGTCCGAATTCTAATTAAATATTACTATATAATAATAACAATTAACTGGCATAACATTTTTAGACTTTGCCACTATCATTCAAACCACTAGGTTTTACATATTTGTCTTAAAATTCTTAATAATAAGATTCAGTGTTACTTATTTTAAGTAATGAGATTAAGTTATTTTTTTCTTGCATCTCTTCTGAAGCCTGAATGATGATTTCACCCAAACCATTTTTAACAATAAATAACAAAACATTAAAGTAGATGCTTTAATTACTTTTTCAATGTAAATAAAGTACTTTAATTTGATATAGAAGCAAATGATATAAATATAATATATAAATATGATAAATAAAAAATGTCAATGTGAATAATGTTAATATAATTTATCCACACTGAACAAATAAGAGTATAAATAAATGTAAATAGTTATAATTACAAAGTGATGATTTAACATTATAGTTGTCAATTATTAGCACCGTTTATTTTTTCCCCCAATTCTGTTTAACAGAGAGAATACTTTAACACATTTCTAAACATAATAGTTTTAATAACTCATTTCTAATAACTAATTTATTTTATCTTAGCTATAATGACAGTAAATAATATTTTACTAGATATTTTTCAAGACTCATTCGGTTTAAAGTGACATTTAAAGGCTTTACTAGGTTAATTAGGTTAACTAGGCAGGTTAGGGTATTTAGGCAAGTTATTATATAACGATGGTTTGCTCTGTAGACTATCGTAAAAAGAATATAGCTAAAAGGGGCTAATAATTTTGACCTTAAATATTTTTTTTTTAAACTGTTTTTATTCTAGTCGAAAAAAAGAAATAAGACTTTCTCCAGAAGACAAAATATTATCAGACATACAGTGAAAAATTCCTTGCTCTGTTAAACATCAAACACACTTAAGTAAATTAAATGGAATAGAAAATACCAGATCATACTCAAGATCCTCTTTTAAAAACATTATAGGAATATGAATTACAAGTTTAGGCAAAAGTTTATCATCCCATAAAAATATAATTCAGAAAAAAATAAACATTTGGACCACAATAACAAAGTACAGTATGTTTTTGACAGCTCTTACATTGTATAGTTTTTGTTTGTTTGTTTGTTTTGTTTTACCACTAAGTTCTTGCTGAGACCCTTTCCTTTGCAGGTTATTGCAGTTGTCATGGACTTATTCACCGATATTGACATCTTTAAAGATCTCCTAGATGCAAGTTACAGGCGAAAGGTTGCTGTGTACATTATGCTGGAGGCCACTGGAGTAAAGCACTTCATGAGGATGTGTGAGAAAGCAGGCATGCACACTGGACACCTCAAGGCATGTCACAATTTGACCTAGAGTTTAAGATTATTAATGATTCGTTCACAGAAATAATTAAAATATACAGCGCTTTTATTACATTATTAAAACCAAATGAGAGAAAACTTTTGTTACCAAAACTACTCCAAATCAGAAAGTCAACAGCCTGAGGCAACTGTGAACACTTATGACTCTTGACACTCTTGTTAATCGAGACAGAACAGATTTCTGTTGCTGGAATTTAATTATGCTACACAAACAAAACATTTTTAAATAGACCAGAATTTTATACTGCATTAAGTCATTTCATCTATAGTGTTGTTTTCACACAATGTAATACAAACAAATCAAACGTACTTACTTCAAAACTTCTAGATTATGTGTAACAAACATTATGGCCCAGTTTCACAAACAGATTAAGCCATTAAATTAGCCTATTTAAGCCACATTTATAAAAATGGCCTTAGAAAAATACATTACTGGTGTGCAACTGGAGACAAAAGATGCCTGACATCTTTTGAGACATCTCACTGCATGGTATTTTTTAGTTGAGACAGCTCAAACATGCAATTTAATATTGACTAGCCTCAAACCTTGTCTGTAAAGCTGTGGACAAATGCAAATATCTTGACCTAAATATCTGCTATATTAGCTTTTGTCTATCACCAAAAGGTATCGCGTACACTTGGTGGTAGTACAACTCTGGTTGAATGTATAAAAAACACAAATGATGATGAAGACCTGATCACAACCAGAATAATTCTGTTTTGGCCTTATATGTTTGTTTTAATTGTTTTATCAATTAAAGTTATATGTCACGGAAAACATGCATACACATATGTACATACATTTTTTTCTATAAAAACCTTAAACAAACATGCTTTGTTTTACCAACAGAATTTGCGAGTGCGCAGCATTAGGGGTGCAGAATTCCTCAGTCGATCCTCAAAAAGAGTGTATGGAAGCCAAAGCCAGAAGTTCATGTTTATTGACGGTGACAAAGCAGTCTCAGGGTCATATAGGTAAGTCTGGTTATAGCAGTCTTATGCAAGGTTACATTTATAATTCTAGTTACTTAGAAATCCTTATGCTAGTATTAAAATTTAAAAAGAACCTCTTAACTTTCAGCTTCACATGGTCTGCCTCCAGACTGGACAGAAACCTCATCACTGTTCTCACCGGCCAGGCAGTCGACACATTTGACACACTGTTTCAGGACATGTACATGCTATCTAATGGAGTGTGCCTGAGCAAGATTAATCTGAGCAGTGAGCCTGAACCTGAATACGTCCCTCAGGCAGTACCCACTCCACTTCCATCAGCCACCAAAGCACTCAAGCTCATTAACCCGAAATACACTCTGGTCTCCAACTGTGCTTTTACCACCAATGGACCTGTATCTGACCAGACAAGTGCCCAGAACAGCACTTCTAAGAATCAGACAGAAGTTGTCAAAGTCACCCCAGTGGTGCCACCTGTTCACCCGGGACTGCTCAACCTGGAAAAGGCGGACATGATCAATTATATCCCAACCTGGCCTGATCCTGACCCACCGAGTGACGTCATTGGTTTCATTAATATAAGAGATGCTAACAAGCCGTTGCAAGCTCACCTTATGCGTTCAGAACTCTTTGAAGTGTCTCAAGCCATTCGATTCAAGGATCCTGTTCATGAGCCAGTGGAATCTTCATTTCTGAGAGCTAGTCCTGGACCCGTATCTCAAACATCGTCTCACCCTGAGGTTCCAGCTCAGAAGCAAACACCAGGAGAAGCTCAGATGGATTTTGATAAAAATCAACATCAAACGAGCAACCAGAGTGAGAATCTTGTTTTGCCTTTGGAAAAGCCAAAAATGATGCATGTGCTAGCATTTAATAAAGTAGATAAAGAGGAACCCTGTGTGTCAGAAAAAGACCTGGACACTAAGTCTTTACAGAGCAAAAACATTTGCACCAAAAAAGACTTTGCCAAAGCAATTTCATCTTTTCAAGACGATACAGTCTCAGATACAAAGGGAATCCAGGATACTTTACAACCTCTAAACTGTTCTAACCATACCTCAGAAGAGTTGTACTGGAAATCATCAGCAGTCTCCAACAAATCTGATCTTGTGGAGTCATTTGCAATCCCAAAAAGCCCTTCTGTCAAGCAAAGCCAAGATGACCAAATCATAACTGATGTTGTCACTCAAAACCACATTGAAACAAAACCAGAAACAAATCAAAATGGCTGGAATGGTACAAAGATGTCTAACTGTGACTCTAGCATGTCTTCGTTGTCTGATGAATACTATGAGTGTTTTAGCCCAGTGGCTGACTTCAGGTCTGTGGAAGATATCTTTGTGCCTGAAGAAACACGAGAATCTTTGCCTAATCCGATCAAAAAGGGTCATCAAGGGCAAGCAATTCTTCGTTCAAAATCATGCCCTGCTCAAGACTGTGAAGATTTGGGTAATTCTCAGAACTATTTTACTCCGAAACTTTTGAAAACCTCTTGCAGTATTATCTTCAATTTCTTATCAGCAGAGTGCAAAACAACAGCTGCACTTTCCAAAACCACCTTTGCCCAAGAAAACGACAAAGGTGCTATAATAAATGATAGTAAACAACCGGTCAAAGATAGTGAAAGCTGCTGTTTCTTACAGACTCCTAATGGTTATTTAAACTTCTCTTTAACATCAGATGAGTACTTTGAGTGCAGTGACACAGTGGGTTTGAAGTCAGAGATTGACTGTGTGGTTTCAAAGGAACTCAGTTCAGCTGAAAACATTAATGAACCTCAGCGAATAACAAAGCTCATACTGGAAGCTGAGAAACTACCTGAGCTAGGCTGTCAAAACATTAAAGAGAAAGTTGAACCTGAAATGCATTCTGGACAGGAGCAGCCTGAATTTCAACATGTACTACACATGACAGCTGATAGTAACCTGCCAGATGGCTCAAGGGCAGTTTTATTATCTGAAGATAATACTCAAGCTCAATCGAATGACAAACTTCTCAAACAAGTACAAGATTCTGAAGTTACATCAAAGCCAGCGGTAGACACTGAATCGATGAGCAGTGTTTTGCAACAACATATGGCACGTGCATCTCAACAGTTTTTAGAGAGACAAACCAAGGCAGTGTCTGTAGAGTTAACTGAAAAAATGTCAATACAGGACTTACAAATAGAATCACTACAAGAGGTATTACCTCATGCAAGTCAGAATATAAATAGTAAGGATAAGTTTGTGCTGTTTGATAAGAGAAATTCAAACCCAGAGTTTGAGTCGGAGGTTAGTGTAGATGTAGTATGTGAGGAACACTTTGTAAAGTCACTCCAGGATTTACAACCTGAGTTAAGTTCAGACTTAATACCCAAACCTCCAGAAGTAAACAAAGTAGCTGACAAAATGGCAATGCAGGACTTACAGCTTAAGGCAAGTCTAAATTTAATGTGTGAGGGATCTAAAAAAGAATCAGTACAAGGGTTACAGCCTAATGCAAGTCTAGATTTAATAGGTGAGGTAAAGCCTCTATGGTCATCTAAGAAAAATTCTGAGTCTGGCTTTGTGTCTGAGGTTAGTGTAGATTTAGTATGTGAGGAACAGTCTGTACAGACTCTCCAGGACTTACATCCCGGGTCAAGTTCAGACTTGCAACTCAAAACTTCAGAAGTAAATGTGTGTGTAGAGAAATCTGAAAAGAAGGCAATGCAGGACTTACAACTTGAAGAAGGTCTAGATTTAGTGTGTGAGGAATCTGAAAAAGAATCACTACAAGGGTTACAACCTGATACAAGTCTAGGTTTAACAGGCAAAGAGAATCCTCTACTGTTAGCTAAGAAGATTTCAAACCCAAACCTTGAGTGTGAGGTTAATCGAGATGTAGCATGTGAGGAAAAGTCTGTAAAGTCACTTCAGGACTTGCAACCTGAACCAAGTTCAAACCTACTACTCAAACCTACAGAAGTAAATGTGTCTGTAGAGGTAGCTGAAAACAATGCAATGCAGGACTTACAACTTAAAGTAAGTCTTGAGGAATCTGAAAAAGAATCACCACAAGGGTTACAACCAACTGCAATTACTTTAATAGATGAGGAGAAGCCTCTACTTTTAGCTATGAAACATTCTGATTCTGGCTTTTTGTCTGAGGTTAGTGTAGATGTAGTGTGTGAGGAACATTCTGTAAAACCACTTCAGGACTTACAACCTGAAGTAAGTCTAGACCTAATGCTCAAACCTGCAGAGGGAAATGTTATCCTGCACTATGCAACCGACAGTGTGTTTAATTGCTCAATACTGCAAGATAAGGCAGATGTAACTTCTGTAATTCCAGAGAAGCCTGAGATAACAAAGTTAATAGAGTTGCCTAAGATTAAGGAACTGCAAAAGTCATTGACTTGTTTAGATTGTAGTTCAAAACACCAACATAACCTCAGATCCGAAGAAGATGTGAATGAGCATTTAAGGTTACCGAATGATGAGGTCAGTCAAGCAGTGTTAAAGATAAAATCTGAACAGCACAATTCTCAGATGAAAATTCCAGAACAATTTGAATCCATTGAGCTGTTGATATTAGAAGATTCCGACCTCCAAATGACAGAGCAGGACCAGTCTGATCCCGGAAGTCCAATAGTTGCACTGAGCAAAGAAACAAAGATATGCAAAACCAAGCCTATACAAATGAAAACTACAATTGATAGAAAACTTACAGAGGAGAAGCTGGGTCATGAAGTTTACAGTAGAAATGGGAAGGAAACATGTTACCCAACTGCCCCTGATGAGGAGAAACAAGAAGGGGAACATATTTGTACAAATCAAACGTACAAGAACCTGCCAGAGGCAAAACCCAAGATGGAAAGTCTGGCAAGGAAGGTAATGAATTCTTTCAGTACTATCAAGAAGCAAACTCTAGTTCTGAATTAAGGGATAATATTATTAATTCATGTTCTGTTCTTGCTACTAGCACTCACTTCAGACGTCATCCAGAATTCCTATTCAAGCTAGAAGAGGGTCAACCAAGTTACCCATTGGCAAACTAGACACTTCTAACTGCTCATCTGGGCTTCAAGCTCCTAAGTGTGGCATACATAAACAACTGCCTGGAAAACCTATGGGACAGAAGAAGACTAGCATTACACCCCCTTCATCTCCTGAAAAGCCATCCATAGGAAAAATCACTCCAGTTAGGCCAACACAAATACCACAGAGACCCACTTGGACAGTCCCCACACCGAACAGTCCCACCTCTCCCACAAACCAGAACCAGCAGACTGCACCCAGAATCAAGCCACCAGACCAGCCAAATGTTTCCAGGTCTGCATCCATGACAAAGTATAGCAGGTCTTCTTATGAAATATCATGTACACGACAGGTTAAGAAGCAGGCGGTTAAAGGCATTCTGCCGAGCCCATAAAATAGCAGTGTTTACACTGGGAATGCGGTTAATGCCGAGTTCAGACTGCACAATTTTCAAAGTAGTCACAGATGTCTTCATACTGCATGACTATCTGAGCTTGTGTTTCATCGCTACATTGTTTACACTGCAAGATAGATCGGTGGCCGGGAGTTTCACACTGCTTGACTTTGGAATAGGAAGAATTGCAGACAACTTTGTCTTGGTTCGCAAACTACATCTCACATCCAAACACAAGCGAGAAGTGACATGGAAACAAGGTAGTGTATCTTTTGTTATTAACTACACAATGAGAAAGAAGCTTTTAGTGGGGTAGTGGTTGTGGTATTTCTCGGATGACATGTCAAACAGACATGGGCGCTCCTGCCAAATTTCAACTAGTTTTTCCTTCATTTCTTGGGCTCAAATAGATCAAAAAGAAGCATTTTTAACTTCTACCCTAACTTCCCGCTGACCTGCAGATACTTAACTAGTGGATGCCACTCTCATTGGCTGTAGGTAATCGTCAATGTTATTTTCAATAAGAACACATTTCACACGCCATGGTTTGAATGGCCGACAGCTCCAGATATTTAGCATGCCAAATATGTCATGGGTGTCAGCGACTCATCTGCAATTCTCTCAGATCTTGTCACAATAGTTCACACTGTGTGATTGTTACTCAGCTGAATAAGCACTGCTTTGCCTGTGATTTTGTGCATTCGATGGCGATTTTTCAAAACTTGTAGGCGAGTCAAAATTGGGGCTAAAATCATGCAGTCTGAACTCGGCATAACAGGGGAAAAAAAACAGCGTGATGGATGTAATGTGTATTTATGTAATACATTAGGCGTGTATGGCCATACACCCAAAGCACTTCACAATCATGAGGGGGTCTCCACACAATCACCAATTTTCAGCATACACTTGGATGATGCGATGGCAGCCACAGGACAACGGTGCGCTTACCACACACCAGCTATAGGTGGAGTAGAGAGACAGTGATAAAGCCAATTCAGTGGATGGGGATGATTGAAATGCCATGATGGTTAAGGGCCGAGAGGGATTTTGGCCAGTTACACCCCTACTCTTTACGAGAAGTGCCATAGGATTTTTTAATAACCCACGGAGAATCAGTACCTTGGTTTCTCGTCTCATCCGAAAGACAGTGCTCACTGACAGTATAGCGTCCCCTTTACCTTTATTGGGGCATTAGGACTCACAGACTACAAGTTGAGCACCTCCTGCTGGCCTCACTAACACCACCTTCAACAGCAACCTAGATTTCCCATGTGGTCTCCCATCCAGGTACTGACCAGGCTCAGCCCTCCTTAGCTTCAGTCAGTAAGGGGTCTTGTAATGAATCTTTTGATGAATGCCCTGTTCCAATTCTGCGGTTCTTCAAGTGTTTGTGCTACTTCCAAAATGAAGGATGGATGTATTTGAAACATTTGTTTATGATTTGATTCATGAAAATAGTCATATTTGGTGTAGGCATGGCGCAAGGTAATAGTGCAATCTGCTGTAAATTGATTTAATGAATGCAATGATGTGCAATAGAAAAAAATATATATTTTAGTATTTGTTTTTATTGAACTTATGTTGAACTTTGTGAGTTGATCAGTATTTATTGTTGTTATTGTACTTTGTTTGTTAATCTCATGTGAAACTTTGTTTTATTCATTCCGTTTACCAGCGCAATTGTATCTCGCTATAGAGCACTTAAGCAAACAGGGTTTTCCCTATTCAAACAGGTTTCATCATGTTTTATGTAAATTTTAGTTATACCTTTATGACAGTTCCTAAAGTTATTCTAAAACTCTATAACTATATTTATTTTTCTATTTAGCTTATTTCAAAATGTCTCAGTAAACTATCAAAAATCAACATTTGCTTTATTTATCTAATACGCAAAGCCTACTGAAGGAAAAACTGGACATGGATGCTGTTTATGTTTTGATTGAGGTCAGAAACTGCAGACTTTGTTTGGCTGAAGATTACAACTCTCAGACTCTACATTTGTAAACCAGCATTTATCAGATCGAAACAGACCTTCATCTGATCATCTGATTATGGCTGAACTTTACTCCCTTATTCAATATTATGATGTTTTACCATCATTGTTCTTTATTGGAGCAACTTCACACTGGGTTTAAACTAATCAGATCACAATATTCAGCATTTCACCACCATTTAATATCAAGCTAACTTGTTTACTCAGCAACCTGCTTCCTCTCTATTGCAGCAGACTATTGTGTTATAAGATTACAGTTCTGGGAAACTTTGCTGAGTGATTTACATTGAAGTTAGATTAGACATCTAAATAAGTTTGCCATAAGGTCTGTGTGAGTTTTATGCTGTCAGAAAAGGCAAATAAGCATGATATCAGCAGAAGCAAGCAAATTCAGAGAATTATTGTGACACTAATGACCCCACTAAAGGAGTTGTTTCAATAAGAAAAGCATCACACCCAACATAAGAACGCTTTTAATATTCATTATTATCAGATGTTCCATCCAGTTCAACGTGCATTACATATATAGCACAGTGATTATATGGTTACATCTTGTTTGGATGCTAACCACAAACTTTTTATTCGCCTATTTAGCTCGCCCAAATTGAAACCCAGTACATCAGCAACCTGTTGAACCACTGTTATTTGCAATAGTAATATGTGCACAATGATTTACTTGTTGATGCAGTGTTGTAATAGAAAAACAACAGAGCCAACTGTTGTGTCATGTGTGCTGTTTGAGTAATTGACTAATGCATTAAAAGGAGTGTTGAGTTTAATAAGAGAATTCATTCATTTTGTATTAGAAAAGTTGTCGTTATTGGCCCTTTATTGAGAAGCAAAGTCAGTAACGTCACACATTGGTATAAAATATATTTCTTTCTGAATCCTGAAGTAAATGTGCCATTCCAAACATTCTCCAGAACATAATTTATTTAAAAAAATGTTGAATTGAGAAGGGGAAACTTATAAAGAATTACATCAAATTGAAAAACTGAAAGACATGGTTTAGCATCTACAGTTAAAATGGATCAAAGAATAGTCAGAACAGCAAACATGCAACAAAATATCACCGTCAGACAAATCAAGATCATCTGAAATGACCTGTAAGTGCAGATATTAAGATGATGTCTGAGGAAATCATGCTATGGGGATGTTTCTCATACCGTGTCGTTGGTGCTATTTATTATTTCTGAGTTTCAGGGATCAGTGTAAATGCATCCAAATACGTGGAGATGAGGTTTTTCTATTCTGAAGAAGGAATGCCCCTGAAATTAGTGTTTCATCCAGACAATGACCACATTAAAACAAGTAATCGAGCAACAAGTTGGTTTCAGGTGAAATAGATTGAGGAACCGAAGTGGCCTGCTCAATCCCCTGACCTCAACCCAATTGAAAACTTGTGGTAGACATTAAAAGAGAAGTTTCTGAAGAAACATTCAAAGAAACTGCGGTGTAGTTGTTCTAAATGAACTGAAAGAAATTTTTGGCGACACTTTATAATAACTGCACACTATGAATCATTTATTAAGCATTAGCAGATCGTGAATTCATTATCGGTTAAGCATTAAATCTACATTAATAAACGTTAGTAAGCAGTTTATAACTGCAGATACAAATGCTGTATTCTTGACTTACAAGCACTTGTATAATGTGCTTAATGATTGAGCTTTGATACTTTAATGATTCTTTTTTTTATTACTAAATTAAGTATTGCATTATATACAAACCAGTTATTTAAGAATAGGCTGTGGTTTTTAAAGATCAATCAGAATGAGTAAGTAAATGATTATTAAACTACTCAAATCAACATTTATATATTATTATTCAGGCATATAATAGTAGTTAATTTGTTTATTAATACATGCTTTATGAACTCAACTTCATCCAGTTTTGTGACCTAATCTAAAGCTAGGACTATTTATGCTTTATAAATCTTGCTTTATAAAAATGACATTTAAATGCTCAGTTATATTCTAAACAAGAAAATAAAGAGAAAATAAATGACTATATTCATTTCTATTAATTTCAAGATACACAAACAAAACTGTATCAAATGAAAAATAAATCAATTGCAATTGATTCATATCAAATTGCAGTCTTAACTAAAATAAAAAATACTGTACAGTTTAAACATTGCTAAATAACATTGAAATGTTGCATCATGTTACATTGTTAAATTCTTGTATTGTCTAATCATCCAATTTTACAGTGATTTTATTTTAAGATAGGATTGCAAAGATGTATGGTTCATTTGATACTGAGCCTTTAATTGTCATACAGCAGTTACCAAAGCAATGGCTAAGGAACTAAATATTAGTGAGGTGATATAAACTGATATTACTGAAATAATGTCTATAGATTGAAAATGTTAAGATATTGATACTGCTGTTTTTTAACACTTTTTTTTAATATTGGCCACCTATAAATAAAAAAAATACACAAAAGTGGAACACACAAAAACAGGAAAATGCTTTAGAGCAATGTTTTTTGCTCGCTGAGAGTACTGTCAGGTCAACAAATGTTGCATCAACCCTTGCATTAAAGGGTATATATATATTTAAGTGTGGGCTGCAATATTTTTTAAGTACACATTAGAAATTCAGCGATGCAGGTTTGTGAACTTGGCTTCTAGGTGTGGCTAGGTTTGAATGAGCATTAGTCATGTACTAAATACAAAAAATAGAGAACACCAGTTTGCAGACCCTGCTGCTGCTAAAAACACTTCTGTAAACGAATCTCCAAGAAAAAAAGACATGCCAGACATTTTTTCTTACTTCCCTGTGAAACTAGTTTCAAGTTAATGTCTATCATACGTCTGAAACTTTGGAAAGCGGTACTTTCCATCACAGACGTCTTGTCACAATTATCTGCCTTAAGGTTGCTAGAATCATTATGCAAACAGAAGCGGTCTGTTTATCGTCTGACCCACTGAGGCTTTGCTTTGGTCATTTAATGCTGAGAATACATGTTTTTTCCCAGACCAATCCTGTCACACAGTGGCATAATTGATCTATTAGGGAGTTAAAACCAGTTAAAATCCATCCAGTTTCTAAAATTAAGCCTATATGACTTTGGTGTTTCTAGCATAACTCTGGAAATATTTGAACAGGGGATTTTGTAGAGTGCTGCCCTCTGTTGGCTAATTATTTTGAACTAAGCTCAACCAGCATCAGACAGATCCCAAGAAGCCAGCAAACAGTGTTCTCTGGTGATGGAAAGAGTACTGAAAAAATCTAACCCAAGTAAAAGTACCATTACTTGCCTAAAATGTAGAGCAAGTAGAGTAAATGTATCTGTTGTAAATATTACTCAAAGTATGAGTAAAAAGACCTTTCAAAAGTACTCAATAGTAGTATTACACTGTGAAAAGCTGACACATTTACTTGTGATTTTTGTATGTGTGTGTGTAACATTCTGTAGTGCAGTGGTACTCAAACTTTTTTCATCAAGTACCACCTCAGAAAAAAATTCTCTTTCCAAGTACCACCAAAATGAGCAGTATTGAAATTCAGTAGTGTAGTAGGCCCAGTAAAGCAGCTACAACTCTGCACAGTTAAAAAAATGTGGCAGATTACCTATAGAAATATAGGCTATATGTCATATATGGCATATTATATACATCATTTTTGATAAATTTTGAAATGTATTTAGCATGTACATGACATATTTCATTCCTCCACGTACCACTAGAAGGAAGCCCGCGTACCACTAGTGGTACACGTAGCACAGTTTGAGAACCACTGCTGTAGTGCATCTAGTTATTGCCCAGCAGGCACACTACATCTATGTTAGGTGACCAAAATTCAATGTCTAGTCAGCGTCTAAGGACAACGTTATTTTGACTTACAATAACATCATCAAATGGCATTGATATTTGGTTGATTTTAGGTTATTAGAAAGTGACCAAAATCCAACATCTTAAACCAACACCATATTGACGTCAAATACTGACATTTATTCGTCAGGTGTGGAAACCAAAAACCAGAAAAAAAGATTTTGGACAACTTCTTGGACACTTATAAATCGCCCATGTCTCGAGGTTGTTCATTATGATGCAATTTACTTTCTATGAGCGATTTGATTGAACAGGAACCACAGGACTGATTTTCTAATCCCCATAGACAAGAAATAAAGTAGTGGCAGCAGGTTGAAGGAAAGTACTGGAGTAAAAGTAGCGATACTGCACTATAAATGTACTCAAGGGAAAGTAAAAGTACACAGTTTTAAAACTACTAAGTAAATTACAATTCCTGAGACCAACTCCTCGATTACAGCAATTTGAGTATTTGTAATTTGTTACTTTCCACAACTGGTGTTCTCAGAGTCTAAAATGGACTAGCATAAATCAACAAACCCGAAACTCCAGATCTGACAACGCTGTCAGTCTAACCTGCCAACAAGAAAAAGGGCGGATCATTAATTAAACACTGCACACATGACATCAGTAAGTCTTTAACCTGTTTATTCATCGTCATCAAGTGCTGTGAATAAATACAAAAGCCTGACATATTAGTCACATAACAAAAACCCTGCATTTCATTTGAAAATGAGAAGTTCTCAGAGGCAAATTCTGGCCGCTATGACCAAACATTTATGAGGCAAACATTTCCACGGTCCCGTTACTGGCAAAACTTCAAACCTAAACTCTCGTGTCAAAGTGTTAGTAGAAGAATCGAGCAAGAAAAAACATTCAGTCAAGTGCATTAGGCTTTAGTTTCAATCTTAAGCACTATATTGAAATCTATGAACGTACCTTGCGTGTACAAAATAAATGTTAATTTAACATCAGCACTAACACGGACAGAACACAAATCAACTAGTGGCACCGAAAACGCACAATTCATGAGGCACTGACACTGATATGTCACAGCATAGAGTTCTGAATTGGAAACATTTTGGAGTTGTTGGCCACACAGTGGAGTTATCCGTTCTTTAAATATTAAAAAGAAAAATGAGAAAAGACAGAAGATCTACAGCTAAAAGAGCCGAAGATGTCCTTTTAGCATCCAGTGGTTCTCCCTTTAAATCGAAATCTTAAAAAGTGACAACATTTGAGATCACGAGGTGAAAAATTCCTGCACTTCAAGCCTGTTTTCACATTAGCACGCAAGACTGAAAGGGAAAGCAAATGACACGTCAACATTTATTCACCCTCTGAGTGCTTTCAAACCTTTATGAGTTTCTTTTATTTTCGTTGAACTCAAAAGAAGATACTTTGAAGATTGTTGAAAGCATCCATAGTAAAAAAAAAAATACAATAGTAGTCAATGGCCTCCAGTTTTTATCGTTATTTAGAAATATCTATGGAGGATGAGTAAATGATGACAGTATAATCATTTTCTGGTCAACAACCCTTTACACATCCTGGTTCTTCGAGCGTACTATTATTATTTCAAAATATTACACATAAAACAAGCGGTTTGGAGAGATGACAAACAGAGAAACGGTTAATGACACAAGCAATAGGGACAGAAAAAAACTCTTGACCTATGACTGACTGTACAAGAACCTGCTAATCATCCATACCTATATTACGAAACAGGTAAGACATGGATTCTCCATTGTGGATGCGGCGAATGGCTTCTGACAGGATCATGCTGATGTCCACTGTTTTGATCTTGGGACACTGGAGTTTTTGGATCTCATGTGGAATGGTGTTGGTGACAACCACCTGATTGTAGAGACACCAAAAAGTCAGTCAGTATTCATAAACAACAACAGGCATCGTTCTGAAAGGACGATGCTAAAGCTGACCTCGTCTATAGCCGACTCCTCTATTAGTCGAGGAGCATCTGAGGAGAGGATCCCATGAGTGGCCATCACGAAGATCTTGTAGGCGCCTCTTTCTTTCAGAGTTTCGGCGGCTGCTAGGAAACTGTCAACATCATCAATGATGTCATCCTTTAGATGAAAACAAGACGTATTAGAAGAAGGGTACATTTAAAATAGCACAATGAAGACATTCAAATCATCCAGAACTAACCACTATGATGGCAATTCGTCCTCCTACATCTCCAACTACAGTTATCGGTGGTTTTTCTTTGGGAATCAGCACTACACAAGAGAAAAAGGCAATAAGAAATGGAGATTAAGAAGTCAAATGAAACAACTGAGTGAGTTTGTACGAGGTGAGATTCTCACATGGTATTTCTAGGCTTGGATGGATGGCGCCAATGTTTTTGACAGTAGGTGGTGAATGGCGTCCATCAACCAGGTCTGATTCTGCATCCTGTGCTTCACCGTGAATCACAGCAATGCCCAGACGCAATCTTTCAGCAAATGACTGGGCCCTGTAAACACACAGACAATTGTGTTGTTTTTGTTGTGTTGCGCCATGAGCTCCGGTCCCCTGGTTAACAACCAGTTTTCTATAAAAAAATTCATATTGGAAACTCAAATAAAAACAGCAAGAATTAATTTACAATTTATACATCTGATTTTGTTTTTGTTAATCTTATATAGACAAATGTAAAAAAAAAAAAAAAAAAAATTATATATATATATATATATATATATATATATATATATATATATATATATATATATATATTTATATGCTTACTGATACCGGTCAACCCTCCCATTTTCCCTGGGATTCTCCCTTATTTTGCAATTCTATCCTTCCATCATCCCTTAAAGGTATTTTCCTGTAATTCTCCTGTTTTTTTAATCTTTCTATAAAGGATGGCAATAATAAACATTAACGAGCCGATCCTACATATAGGCAACTCATACTGCCGAACCACCAGGGGACACCCCTTGCTCTTAAATATGAGTCTTTTCTGTGCTTTCATTTTATTTAGGCATGATAACACTTTGAAATAAATTTATAAATGAAGGGATTCCCTTCATTTCCATTACAGGTGCCGTTGCCCCTCATATACAATCCTTAAAACAGACTATCAGATGATAAATAGATGCTGTTTCCCAAACAGATTCTGTACACTCAATTTGAAGCGGAGAGAAAGTGGACACCCTGGGTATTTAATGCATGTTTGAATAGACATATACACATAATAATAATAATAACAACAACAACAACAACAACAACAACAACAACAACATCTAAACATGTCGATCTTGAGGGGGGGTAATTTTGTCTTAAATAAGCATACAAAGTTAGGAAAGAAATTGAATGCTTTCATTATAGATCTGTGCATTTGTGAAGTGACTCCTCTGTTATTTAATATGGTCAAAAGAAAAATCTAAATCCCTTATTTTCACATCCCAATGTTGACAGGCATGCTGACAAACTACACTCCTGAAATGAAAGCATTTGCACACACTGAAAGTCCTGACATGTTTTTGACAAAGAGCACATTTATTTTTCATGTAGGCTTAGCGCTGGACAATAATAATAGTATAATAACAATAACTGTACAAATATAATTTTTCCTCAATAAAGTGTTTCTTTGTTCGATAAGTGTTAAGATATAAGGTCTATCTAGATGTGTATTAAATGCTTAAGAAAGTAATAGAAATAATTACAGTAATTGTTAATAAGCTATGGATTAGCATTTTTCATTTGCATGTATTCAGGCTATAGTTTAGCATATATAAAAATCAGAAAAAACAAAGTTACGTTTCAGCATAATAATGAGGTACAAAATGTGTAGTTTATCGTGTATGTTGTTTTTTTTTTTTTTAATTTATTTTCATAAAAGATTAGAAGTTTTACCTTTATTAGGATAGGACAGCATATTGACAGAAAGAGAAGTTGAAGGGGGTGAGATTGCGAAACGCTCAAACTCGGGACACCCACAGCACAGTTGTGGTATATGTCAGCAAACTAGCTATGTTTCCATCCAGCTATTTTAGACGCATTTTGGAGATGAGGCGCATTAAAAAAAAATCAGTTGATGGAAACGCGTAGATGCGCATACATTTTGAAAATGTGCATTAAAACATAAGCGCATAACTGAGTAGGATAAACTTTTTATTCAATAAGAAAAAAAATGTGCATGAACTGCAATGAAAACACTTTACCGAACATATTCCAGTAAGCGCAATAAAAAGGTCATGGGATTTTGTTATAAAAGATCATGTGATGATAAAAATGTGTCTGAATGGACAAACCAGTAGCGTAAGCACATTGTAAAACATCTGAAATGTTGTTTTAGGTCATTATAAAAAAACCTTAACAGTTTGTGTATTAGTGTTATTATATTATTAATTACCTCCTTCATGCCTTCAAACCACCACCACACGTTCAATGCATGATAGCATTTGTCCGATAAGGCACAAGTAATTAATTAAAGTAAAGATTGACGCAGCTTCTCCTACCGCAGAAAATTCAGTTTTTACTTTTAATATTAAGGCGCCAGTTAATCAGGAAGTGGCAATTTTGTTCTCTTTGGCTCATTGGATGGAAACGCTGCTTTGTTTGCACATCTTTTATGCAATATTCCAGTTTTGTGCATAAATTTAATTAGCATCTTTGAAAAAAAAACGTAGTTAGCGACAACTGGGCTATCAGCGTCCACAGGCAATGTTTAATTTTAATTATAAACAGATTATTTCAATACAATTTCTACAGATGTTTTTGTTTTACGGAACATAAATGTTCATCTAAACCGGTTTCAATACAAGTTTTATTAATATCAATATAAACATTGTAACTCGGATATGAAAAATATTCATCAGGTTGATGCATTTTCATGTTCTGACAATAAAAGAGTAGTCTAAATCAAAAGTTACCTGTCTGCTTTCTACATTGTTTACACAGGAGCATCTGTCTTTAAACTCGAAAGAAATACAGATTTGAGATTGAATGTTATAAGCATAACTATTAACTGATCTGAAAAAATTGTTCAAGGTATTTTTTGTAAAGATCACTCCTATTAAAAAAAACCCTAAAAACCTAAAGGGCCTGAGCAGCTGTATAATGTTAGTGAAAATACAGATGCAGCCCACACAGCTGAGAAATGGAGATCAATATATGAAATTCTACAGAGTGGTTTCCTCTTACTACCAAAAAAAAGAAAACAGATAAAAACAGACACGTGTGGGAAAATCAACAGTTAAATTAAGCTCTGCAATTTGACACTACAATCCACTCCACTTTATTTACTCAGCGATATATATAATATGGCTTTAATTAAAGGGACTTTACAAAATTAAAAGTGAAAAAAAACAGTGTCAGTTTTGTTTTCAACATATAAAGCAGCTCTTCACTCTACACTTTTACTAATGAATGTCTGATTTAAACTGACTACACATAAAAAATGAGCCAAAGAAACATTTCAATGTCAAAACATCCAGCCATGCACATTTTTTCAGCATGTTTACTTTGGTTTTCTCTTTCAAACGTTAAAAAACTCTAAACAAATGTTTTTGATCACTTTTTCCTTTCAAAATGGTCACACCAGTTCATTCATTGATTCTATTTAAAATAAATCAGGGCCTTAAAAGTCAACAATCTAAAGATGTACAATCTTAGTGTTTACAGACAAAACAGTGTTTGCAGATTTATAGTGTCACATGTTCCTATAAAACAGGCTCTAATAGTCTGCTGTGCTGAAAACATAGTCTACCACCACATGGAATCCAAAAACATTTACTTTCAAAATTAGATGAAGTTTTGTACATTGGGATGCATGAATCTTAAAAACTATTTAATATATCAATACAAAATTGACACTGGATGTATCTGAAAGCCAAAACCATCATCTCTCCATGCTTCAACCTCACGATTGCACAACTTTTACAACTATTGTTTTAGCCATCATGACTGAACAACTTGCATGACAATACAGAGGTAAGACAGGACTTTACCTTTTGGCTGATGCTGGAGATTTGGCCACAATTACAGCATTTCTGTAATCAGGAATCTGAATGCAGAAAAAAATAGCAAAAATAAATATGGTCATAGTTTAAAAAATATAAAAGTAGAGGTAGACATTTACAGCTAAGGTAAAAATAGCTGTATACTATGTAAAAAAACTGCAAAAATTCTAGTTTATCTAGATTTACTGCATTTATTAGGTATGAATTTTGGAAAATGGTAATATTTGTATTATTCTATAAACGTTAGGTATATCCACTAAACTACATCTAAAATATTTTAAGCATGTTTGGATTCTTTACTTTTGGGTTGGGCTGAATAACCAGTGTTTTCACTAGAGGTGATGATAAAAACAAAACAAAAAAAAAAAACATTCAAGGTTATTCCACCAAATATGGATTTCTTACGCTCTGAAATTAAAGCACTGGTATGGTGTCGTACAAAAATCTCTATAAACATGTCTGAAAACATCTTTATTATTTATTTAGATTTTTTTTTTAAATCTGTAGTTTCAGTTTTATTTAAACTACATGTTTAAGTGGTCTCTTAATTCATTTTAGTACACACACAGTTGCACACACACAGTTGCGCACACACACACACACACACACACTTAATTCTAGCCGAAGACATAAGACCTTCCCTCTGACTTAAGGCTGGTTTATACTTTTGCGTCTAGCGATCTCCAGAATGCATGGCGCATGCCTTGCGCATAGTAATGAATTTAAACTTCTGCATGCTGTTTGTGCTGCTCTGCAATAACACTTCTGAAACACTAGCTGGCTAGTGGTTAAGTTATTACCCTCTGTATTAATTTCTTCGGGGGTGTTTTGTTTTTTCTGAAATGCTACCTTAATGTACAAGTAGCTAAAACTCACTCGTTCTGAAGCAAGAACCTGTAAAAGTCCTTAAATCAGATTATAAGACTTCAGAGGTTCAATCGGAAGATTATCAAGCTACGAGAAGACTTTTGTGCACATTAAACAAAAATAACTTCTTTATTCAACATTTTCTTCTCCTCTTTCTCAGTACACATTTATTTATTTTTTTGCTATTTTTATGGACTTCGAACGTCTCAAGACCCTTTTTGTCAATAGAGGATGAGAGAGCTCTCAGACTTTAAAAAATATCTTAATGTGTATGGAACATAATGAGGGTGAGTAATTAATAGCATCACTTTCATAGCATCAGACGAGTCCAGTTTCTATTCTGCATTTTATTTTTGAGCAGCATAGGTGACATATTGCTAAAGTGAAACTAGACTGACCTATTATTAAACCTGAATGCCCAGACAGCACAAACAGGAAGAGCAACTACAAAATCAACAGGAATTGCAAATAAGCTCCACACAAGGACCTACTTCTTCCTGGATGTACTGCAGCAGGAATGGAGAGGCCCGGAGATTATCCACTGGAATGTTGAAGAAACCCTGGATTTCCTTTTGATGCAAATCCATAGTAATGAGATGAGTCAGACCTGATTGATGCCACAATGGACACAGCAAATGAGTTGAAGGACTGGATTTGCACAAAACACAAATGAGAGGACAATTTAGTGATGGACGGACTCATTTACCAGCTTTACACATCATTGAGGCCAACAGTTTGGAGACGATGGAGCCTCTCTTCCTCATTTTGCACTGTTTGCTGTAGGGGAAATAGGGGATGACGCCGATGATGTTTCGAGCGCAGGACGTCCTGCAGGCGTACACCATAATGAGCAGCTCCATGATGGTGGTGTTAACATCCCTGCAGATGGGGAAGAAGAAAGATTACAAGAACTGGGGTTGGAGAAACAGAATTTGCATTCACATACATTTGAGTGACATTTGATGTCTCTACAAAGCTAATTTGGTGTACTGAACGATTGTTTACATTTCATGTTAATACGTGTGCAACATAATAACATTTTAAGAAACTTGAACATTTCTGCATAAGTTTGCACCAAAAAAGCCTATGCAAATGATCACGCTTAAAAACCAAAAGTTAAACTTCTTATTGGTCAAACCAGCTCCAGAGGATGGGAACAAAATTATTCTTATAAAAGCTTGTGCCTAAGGCCACTGCCCGAGGAAGGACCACAGAAAAAGACTTGAACTCAGAGGACTCAGAGCAGGCAGGGACCCAGACAAAATGAGTCAATCTCACAGCTCAGACATTCCCATCTCTGATACTTTCCTTTCTTTTCTGTCGAGTCTAGTTTAAATTTAGCGTGCCTTAAAACCAGTAGTCAAACACAAATAGCCATTTTGCCGATAAATAAATCTTAATTCTCTTTGAGATAATTTGCTACAGCGGTCAAGTAAACCAGGGCTTCAGTAGAGGAAAAAAACAGAAATTGATTGTGAATTGTTGATTATAGTTTTACAGTTAAAGCTCCCATGTAGTATTTTTTCTCTATTCGACTTTTATGTTAAAACCAATAAATGGCAGTATTTTAGGTAAAATATAAATGTTTTTTAAGGATGCTATTATTGATTTAGAACATTCTATTACTTGATACAACACAATTCCACTGTAAAATCGTATTTGACATTTGTTTGTGCTTTAATTTCACATTAACAAATAATAACTTGACTTCTAGTTGATCATTTGGTATCAGAAGTGGCTTATATGAAAGGCAAATGCCTCTAGATTACGCTTATTTTACCAAAATGAAATATGATCAAGCCTTGATTTTTAATTATTTAATTGGGACAGTAAGGTCTGACTTTGGTTAGACAAAAGTCTCGTCACTTAACAGAAATAATGTGCGGTATAGAATATAAAGTCATGGTGCAGTGAAAAAAGAATGAATATAGTGTATGACTCCCATGAGCTTGAAGGACTGCATCCATACATCTCTGCAATGACTCAAATAACTTATTAATAAAGTCATCTGGAATGGCAGAGAAAGCGTTCTTGCAGGACTCATCAAGATTATTTGGATTCATCTTCACTGCCTCCTCAATCTTACCCCAGACATGCTCAATAATGTTTATTTCTGGTGACTGGGCTGGCCAATCCTAGAGCACCTTGAACTTTTTTGCTTTCAGGAACTTTGATGTTGAGGCTGATGAATGAGAAGGAGTGATATACTGCTGGAGAATTTTCCCACTCCTATGGTTTGTAATGTAATGGGCAGCACAAATGTCTCGATACCTCAGGCTGTTGATGTTGCCATCCACTCTGCAGATCTCTTGCACGCCCCATACTGAATGTAACCGCAAACCATGATTTTTTACTTCACCAAACTTGACTGATTTTTGTGAGAATCGTGGGTCTATGTGGATTCCAACAGGTCTTCTGCAGTATTTGTGATGATTGGGATGCAGTTCAACAGATGATTCATCAGAAAAATCTACTTTCTGCCACTTTTACAAATGATCAACTAGAAGTCAAGTTATTATTTGTAGCTCTTACAGCTGGAATCGATGACAATAATTTTATCAAGTAGTGTATTTAGAGCCCTTTTAACATTTTTAGAGGACACAGGATTGGGTCATAGCATTTAGTTGGTTAAAGTAAGGATTTTGGTGATTCTGTCCATTTCGGAGATTGAGGATCTCAGTACAAAGGTGGAGGAGCTGAACACGCAGTGCCAGCTTGGCCTAGGAACTGATGCTCTGAGGTGGATGGGTCACTTTCCAGTATTTTGTTCTTCCCCAAGCTACACAGACATTACAAATCCATCACACAAGTGCATAAAAAGTACAGCAGGTGGCAGTAATACTTCTAAGGAGTAAATGGCCAGTAAACAAAAAAGACAAGAGACAGACAGATATTACATAATAATAACAGCTTCATACATCAGTTAGAGACATTAAAGCTAATGATCCATTTTATGACACAGAACTTCTCATGACAAAAGACAATTTTTTGCATTCCAATCTGTACTTTTCCTCACAACATCCCAGACTTACTTTTTTTGAGCAAAAATCTTTAAGTAAATCTTTCTCTTTGAGTCCTTATGTGGTAAGACTCATCTATTCTATATTCAGTGACAAGAATAAAAAAAGACAAGAATTAATTAGTCATTTAGGGCTTCACTCCGATTGTTAACAGTGTGTATTAACTGTGCAAATCATCAAATAATTCTTTATCTAAATAAACATATCTGACAAGATTTTGGCATGTAAACTAGATACATTGAATGCGTCACCTATAGAAATCAACATGAAAGTTTACATGATAGACATTATTTTTTGTATAATTTTGTTTTCTGCACTAAACGCTTGATGCTCATTTGTGTTCTTCTAAAATCAGTAAATCATATGTATCAGCAGCGAGGAACAAGGTAGTGTAAATGATGAAATACATCTCATATTTATGTGAAATATGCCTTCAAGGCTTCTTACTTGGACACGGTCTGGATGATGAAAACATCTTTGCCGCGCACAGACTCTTCAATCTGAACCCTTGTTTCTGTGGGAAAAGAAATGTTACTTGAATTTTTTTTTTTCTTGCTTGGTTCAAGATAAATATTGAACTTCACACAAACAGACTGCCTATTTAAGTTTGCATAGGGATTTGACTGTACAGGCAGAGTTTCATCAGCGTCTGCATGTGCATGTGGGAGTGCAAGCATATCTCTCTCTTTTTTCCACAACACGCAAGCTTGACCCAAAACAAAGACTGTCAGTTTAATTGGGCAAAAGAAGCTCATGGCCCAGCTCTGTTTTGTCTGCTCTCTCTACAATGGCATGCAAAGAATGAACAGCCACTACAGCAGCAAAGATGGGAGACATTTGATAGAAAGTTGAGGTGAAAAAAAGACCATCACCTCTGTTCGCCTCCTGATAGACCTGCACCTTCCCAAGCTCCACCCCCAATCGCCTGTGCAGGAACAAATGTTCAGGAAAATTGATGAAATATAACAGCTTAAACATTAAACCCAAAGCTTTCACCGAAAACATTAGTATTTTGACATTATGGTTGTTCAGGTTAGCAAATCTAAATATGATAGGTCTATAACAATGCTAATTCTACATGTACACTACCAGTCAAAAGTTTGGGGTGAGTAGGATTTTTAAATGTTTTATAATACGCTTATCCTGCTCACCAAATTGTAAAATAGTGAACATTTTATTTCACTGTAAAATAACTGTTCAAAAGTAGTTTATCATTTAATTTAATCATTTATTCCAGTGATTTTAATAATGAATTTTCTGCATCATTACATCAGTCTTCAGTCACATGATCCTTTAGAAATCACTCTAATATTAAATATTATTATTGTGTTATTATTATTGTTGTTGTTAAGAGTAATAAAAACAAGAATGACAGAAGCAGTACTTTCATTTGAAACTACAGTGAAAATTATATTTAAATACTACATAGAAAGCAGTCATTAAAATGTTAATATTTAACACTTTAACAATTGTTTTTCTTTTTACATTTATTAAATGCCTTGATAAACCTTGATAAACAGAATCATTTTATTTAAAAGAAAATAAAAACCCGGAAAAAAAATTAACCCCAAAATTTTGACCGGAAGTGTATACATTTATTTTTTGCTATTTAAAAGAATTTAAAAGCACTGTGTTGGTTTTTAGGATTGCAGAAACTAAAGCAATTTCATGACAATGCAGCAAAATAAAAGTTTGGTCTAACTTGAAGAGGTTGAGACGGAAATATGCTATAGTTTTATAATAAATATATACGAACAAAGTAAGTGTTATATAATATTAATAAAAACAAAATAGCTATTTAAAGTAAAAGAGCGTTGGCGCAATAGCCTAGCGGTCAGCGCGTCGACATAAGGTGCTGTAGCACTTGAGGGCGTCCCGAGTTCGAATCCCGGCTTGAGGACATTTCCAGTCCCTAACCCCACTCTCTCTCCCACTTCGCTTTCTTTCTGAAATAATGTCCTATCCACTTAATCCACTTAGTAAAGGCAAAAAGGCCAAAAATAAATCTACAAAAAAAAAAAAAAAAATGCTAATAAATGTTAGTTTGAATACCATTTAAAAAAAAAAAGTAATGAGCAACCAAAAAAAAAAAAGTAGCTGTTAACATAATTTATATATATATATATATATATATATATATATATATATATATATATATATATATATATATATATATATATATTGTTAACTGCTTCTTTTTTTTTAAATGTAACGATGAAAATGATTGTTCTAATCCTACAATTCCTATTTCATGGTAAGATTTATTTCCTTTATTAGTCTGTTTGTTTTACTTATGAATTTACAAACTATCAATAATTTTATTTAGATATTAATTTATATTAATCACTGTTATCATTAATTCACCAATTTACTCAATTTCCCACACCTTACTGAAATTTACCATGGTTTCAATACAACCATTAATAATAAAAACATTTTATTAAATACATAATAACCATGAATTTAAGGCATACTGTTTACTGTTTGTATAACCAGTCAAATACCATGGTTATCCCGTGTTTGATGTAGCAAAACGTGAAAGATGAATTTGTGGTTACCATGGTCTTTTGGTTTCAATTGTAGTAAAACCATGGTTAACTTTCTTAAGGGCCGGACCCCGAAGCCCAGTGTGAAGAGCTCTGCTGTTGGTGGACTCACTCTGCGATCCTCCGGGCCAGCTCTCTGCTGGAGGGGTTGGAGTTGGCCGTGAAGATGACCAGGCCTCCTTTAGGAGCACTCATGTCCAGTGTTTGCTTTAGGTCGACCTCTTGGGACTCAGGCAGTGGCTCCCTGGGCACCCAGGCACTGCTGAGCCCTTCCTAACAACAGGACCACAGGCACACTGTTAGTTTAACAGCAGACTTTCCTGCAAGACATGGGGAAGATGGCATGTTTACAAACACATACACACATATATGAGGAAAAATGTGAGACGACTAGCTAACCACAAACACATTATATCTAATGTTACAGCATTACAGACTCTTCTGCGACTGCGCGACAGTGAATCACGATTCGTGACTAGTCAACCTGTCTGGCGTGTTTGATGATGACAATACTGCATGACTGAAAAACTCGACATCCACAACACAACGAGCACTCAGAGAATACATAACGGAGTCACATTAATAACAAGAACTTGTTAAAAATGAAGTAATCAAGCTAAATAGTTTGGTAAGTTTAGACATTATATTAGCAATGCTGCTAAGATATGAGATGTTGCTAGGGATTGATATCATTGATATATTCAGAACTATACACAGAGCGTAATACAGTAGAGCTGATTTAATGAAGTAAAAATATAGCCAAATCTCACCAGTTTTAATCTTTAAATCGATCCCTTCGCTTGGTTACTGTATCACATGCAACAATGTGAACTTTGCTACCCACAAGAAACACTTAAGATGGCTGCTCGATGGAAGAGCTTTCAAAATAAAAGACCTTACAAAACATTGCAAAGGTAGTCGACACACAAACACAAAACGTTTACAGACAAAATAGGCATACACATTTTTGTTTTATCTTATATCTGTTTTCACACTTATTAATTTAAATTAGGAATTTCCTTGTATTTTCATAGTAAGAGATTTTTTTGTACTAAAAATACTGTAACTATAAACTCAATATAAATTGATATAGCTGGACAAGACAAATAGCAGTGTCTGATAAGATAGATAGACAGACAGCAAGCCAGACAGGGAGGGAGGGACAGACAGACAGACAGACATATGTAGATGTAAGACCAAAGTCTTTTAAAATGTAATATCTATGTATTTTTACCCAAAAGTGAGCATTTACTCATCCTTCACTCACACTCAAGTGGTTCCAAACCAGTATGATTTTCTTTTTTTTCTGTTGAACACTATAAAGAAAATATTATAAAGAATGTTAGAAACCGGTGTCTAATTTGACATCCATAGTAGAATAAAAACTATGAATGCCAGTTGTTACCGGTCTCTAAGATTTTTCAAAATGATGTATTTTGTCAGACAGAAGAAACAGATTTAAGGAGGTTTGTGACAAATGGATCATGATTAAATGAAGACTCATTTTTGGGGGTGAACTTTAAACTACATCTTTCTGTAGCATTCAAAATTTCTTTAACAAGTGTTGTGAAATCTGTCAGCTCAAAGTGGACAATGAGGATCTGCCACATGGTTAGTTTGCTTTTTTTATCATGCCACATGATGAAAGCCAGACAACCCCTGATGCTTTTCACACAGAAGTGCAACTCTGTACCTCCATCTAGTGGTTAATAAAAAATTTCCATTTTCCACTTGGTTCCTAAAGTTGAACTGACACATCACATAAGGAGAATAAGGGGAAATGAAATTAACATCCTGAAAAGGCAACACAGTCAGCAGACATTTAACCCCAAAAATATTTGCAAAACAAAGAGCGAGGACATACGAACGTCATCGTTAGCCACAAAAAGAGAAATGAAACTTCTTTAGTAATAGAAGCACTAGATATTATTTTAACAGGTCTCTCTCACACACACACACACACACACACACACACACACACACACACACACACACACACACACACACACAAACTCGCGCACACACACACACACACACACACTCGCACTAACACACACACACTTGCGCACACAAAATATTTTAAAACCAAAAGAAAAAAAAAACAGAATGTCAGGAACATTAACACTTTATTCCCTGATTAGGATTTACAAAGAAGACAATAAATTAAAGCACACATTATAAAAATTCACCAAAAATGATTCAGTCTTTGATGAGATGCAACTTTAGTAAGTCAGAATGTTTTTTTAAAAAATGTTAAAATTGAAAATCAACAGAAATAATAATTAGTCAAATCACTACGAACGACTTTAAAGCATAAAAGGGAATATGGTTATTGTAAATTTCAGGTGTATGAAATCAACACATGATTAGCAAATGTAATTTTTTTCCTGATGCACTCATAAAGAGCAGAAATAATGGTGAACGGGGAAGGCAGCAGCTGCAGAAAAAGCAATTCCCAGACTGTCCCCTACGGTGGCTGTGGCCATCGCAAACTCTCTCTCCCGCTCAACACTCTGTCAAGAAACAAAATACAAGACATAATGCATAAGAAAACATTCACTCGTTGAGTCTAACATCATGCGGCTGAGTTTCTGGGTCTAAACATTCTATCACACCGGTGTCAAACTCAGTTCCTGTAGGGCTGCACCTCTGCACAGTTTAGTTTCAACCCTAATTAAGCACACCTGATCAAACTAATGGAGTCCTTCAGGCTTGTTTGAAACCTACAGGTAAAGCTGCGGTCACACTAGAGTTTGAGCATGCAAAATTCTGTGGTACTGCGCTGCAAAAAGGGACGGGATTAAACAAGATGATTAGACATTTTAAAAAGTTTGCTCCATATTTAAAATTTTTGTCCATAGAGGTCATGTTTTGATCCTCGATGGGTCTCATGCAGTCAAGTGATGTGATTTCCCAGGTCAGGGTTCACCAAGCTTGAACTTTGCAACACAGCAAACTGTGAAACTTGTCGCACAATCTTGCCTTTCCGGTCTGACGCATTCGCGTGCGTATGAATGGAAGTCTATACGGCAGTGGCGCCTGCAGCTGTATGGCTGTACGCACTGTGCGTACCTACCATAAGAGGGCGGGAATTAATGGCGCCTTTTATTATTTATTTGTGACATCATTTAAATTGATTAATAAACAGTATACACTACAGCTGTCTGCTTTTCTATTATTGTGCCAAATCGTTTTAAGAACACTTCAGTACGGTTACGATTGTTTCTCCACTGAGCCTGGAACGGCGCGACACGATTACAAACTGTTCTCGGCCTGGAATTCTCCGCATGGAGACAACCGTGCTGAACTGTGCAGACAGATTCTGTGTGTTGATGCCGCGGCTCTGTTGCCACGATGACACAGCTGGCTCAGCAGAAGTGCGCTATTTATCAGATATCTACAAATAAACTATACTACATTTAACATTAAAAAAAGATACAGGTCTAAACGATGCAGTTTTGAAAAGGGGTTTAAAACCATAAAGCAGTCTCTGTCAGAGAATTACTGTCCTACCACATTCTTACGAACATATTTTATTTATTAAAATCATTATTTCATCGACTTAGATAAAACCAAGTATAATAAAAATTACTGACTCGTTGTCTAAAATTTTAAAATAATAAAATAGCCTATTATTTTATTTGTGGCAAGAGCTTGAATAATTTAATTGACATTCTGGGCAATGAGACCTTTACTTCGCCTGACTGACTGCGAGTTTATTGCATGCAGCGCTGCATTTGGTAGCACAAAAACTCGCTCTGATCCAGGAGAGAACTTTACCAACAGCTACATGCACTGCTGAAAGACTTTTTTTCTGCTGCGCATCGAATAAAGACACACTTAGCATCATCAATGTCCACTGTCCTATACATCCTATATCCATGAAACATGAACTTGCAGACTCTTTGAACAACGAGGAAATAACTGCACTTTAGTCAAGCCAGACAGCTTGTTTTGTAATTTAATGCCGGCTATAGCACCTGAAGAACGCTTACAGCGTGTTGTGATGTCGGCCGTCACTGAAGAAAGTCAAATCTTTCTTTACTTTTTGGAACTTTTGTTTGAAAACTTTAGTGGCACTGTAGATCTCCTAGGTACTGTTGTATGATTTAAATAAAGCCTTATATATGCACCAACAAACAAGTCAAATTAATAAATAAATAAAATAAATATGGATTCTTAAATGTCGGTATTGTTTTTTATAAAAAAAGAAGCAAAAAAATGTTTTATAAAAATAAAATGAGCAATTTTCACCATTTTTTTTACAATTCAGTTAAATAGAAGTTGGACATTTATGGGGCCATGTAACATGTTTCTGTGTGTGTTTTTGTCCTCGGTGATCTTTAATATATACTGGGTAGCTATGCAAAATATTTCCTAAATGTCAAGCAGGAATTTGTCTATTGCTTTAATTATGAAGAAAATAAAATATTAAAAATAACAAAAATAAAATGATAAAAATACAAAGATTAAAATAATTTTCCTAAATTATAGACAGAATTTTGCTAAATTATATAAAAAATTGTTTTTATTTCACTTGATGCATTCGTTATTTGATGTTTGAATACTGAAATAACAGCCATCAGAAAGAGGGCGGGGCCGTGCTGGATTTGTGTGTACTTTGGAATAAAATCCTGCAATCCCGTGTATAAGGGGAGAAAAGTCTAGTGTGACCGCAGCGTAAAAGTGTTGAAGCAGGGTTGGATCTAAACAGTGCAGGGGTGCGGCCCTCCAGGATCTGAGTTTGACACCCCTGATCCATCAGATGCCAAAAGCAAACAAATAGCACTAATACACACTCTCGTTGTGCTTTAATACTCCTGAAAATCATGATCATAAAGCTTATACCCATACCTAATCTCAGATGGTCAGACAGTGATTCATATGTCATTAATCATAAAAATATTGGTGGCTGTGATGCAGCAAGTACAGGCACAGTTGTACCATGATTTTGTAAAAAAAATAATTAAATAAAGGAGGTGACGGGTGGGGTGGGGAGAGGGTCAAATCACAAAATCCATTCCAAAGGGAGATATTTAGTTTTAATAATCAGTTTTCAAGTACTACAACAAATGGCTCATTTGATCTACAAGTGCTGGTTCCCGGGCTTTATGATTTCAAATATGCTTTTTTAGTCGAGAATGTAGTTGTTTAGATTGCAACTATGCAGTTTATTTGTAAGAATAGTGCCTATTTTAAAATATTTACAATTTCTAAGAGAGCTTGTTGGCGGCCATTAGCCTACCAAAGTGTAGTAGACCAAAGACGGTTGACGTTGTCCATCCACAATTTGGTGCCAGGACCGCATAATAAGCCCTTGCTTTGATTAAAACTGTTCTGTGTTTTCTTGAGCGCGAAGCTAAAAAATGGAAGCCTCACTGTTTTTAATGTGGACCGGATAGAGTCAATAAGAAGCTGCGAATAAGAAGCTGAATTAAGCCTCGTCCCTCCTTAACGCAAACACAACAGCAGTCTGGTAGTGACTGCACTGCATTTTTCGAGGTTAATTATTGTGATATTGTAAAGGTCGCTTAATGTATGATATGCATTGTGCATAAATGTCCCCTTTAAGAAGACTTGTGTGGTTGTTTTACCTTTGAGATGTAAGTTCAGTTCTGGCGAGCTCTGAGGAGAAGTGTGTGATGGTCCCTCCACTGCTGTATCATTCTTTTATTTCAATAATGTAACATTTTATTTTGCGACGGATGTTTGAGTGTCTCTTTCTTATCCTTTTGCCTACTCATTGTCGTTGACTGGCATGTATGTAGACGACAGCACTTGAGAGAAACGCATAAAGGCCTATAGGAAGAGCGAAATAGTTTCTGTCTCCTTTTTTTATTCCCTAAATTCTCTGGGTAAACATTGGGACACCTGGCACCCGTCACAATACCGATGACAACAGAAAAATACTGTAGACTATAATAGACTGTAGGGAGATACATCTGTAGATGGAGGGTAATTCATGTCACGTTCAGCCTTATAATCTTAAAAAGAAGCAAAATTAGATTTTTTGTCATCACTTTAGACATTACGCTATAGAGAATCATTCAAACACTAGCTCTAAAGTGACGTTGGTGAATTAGTAATGGCTTCTGCTGTTCTGACGTCAGCTGCAGATGTGAATGAATGGCGGAAGAAAGTAGTTCTTAATACAAAAGGGTTCCTCTGTGTTTGATTTTCTTTTTTATATACAAGATTGTGCCATCGAACTGTTGTTTAAACACAATATCACACTCGTAGCAGTGTGATATGGCTGTATATCAGCACTGGTGGGACGCTAAGGCACTTGGCCTGCGGTCTCATGCCAATGAACGCTTCCCTTCAGTGCTGATATACAGCCATATCGCACTGCTACTCGTGTGATATTGCTCATATATATATATATATATATATATATATATATATATATATATATATATTAGGGCTGTAACGATACATGATATAAAATCGAAATCGCGACACTCAGATCTACGATCATGTGTCGCGGTGTGATAAGGGAAAATCGCGACACACCCCGTGACTACCTTTCCAATAACGTCACGCGTGCCTGCAAAAGTTGAGCTAGTTGAAGAAGAACGTGAGGAAACACTTTTTTTCCGCTCGACATTACGAGCACTGCTCCGTTTAAGCCCTCGCAATTAGCGTTTAACCGGGAGAGCTCGCACGGAGCTCTTAGTAAGGGACTGTCTGAATGTGTCAGGAATATCAAAACCAAAACCAACTTAACCCCTCTTGACAACCGACAACGGCAGAAACATTGCCAGTGCTGTCAAAGCATTGTTGTTAATGTGGCTGCGCAGAGAGAGATGGGCGTTCACCAGATACCCCGACTCCTCTGCAGAGGAACCTTTTCTGTAACCTTGCTCTGCGCTTTCTGTTTAACCCTTTGGGAGTTAACGTTACATGCTGACTGACAGGTGCGTGATGCGTGAGGCCAGAAAACAGGACGAAGCTTTCAGTTAAGATGAACACAGTTTCTATAGTTATACTTTATTTGTAGATAAAGGTATATGACTCTGTATATAATCACTCTATCTTGCTGGAGTTTATAGCCGTTTCGCTTTACTTCAGGACGCATGCCGCTCTGAAGGTCTAATCGCTGTTTTAAGTTATCCAGAGCTGTATGAATGTACAAATCTTGAATATAACAATAGCATTAAATATTACAATTGTAACAACACAGACAGCAACACTTCTGCACAATCGATACCCAGCTGATTCAGTCGTTTCATAAGAGGACCGCGCTTCTTCTCTTCTTTTTTCCTTGTCAACATAAAGGCAGTGAGATGCGCCTTGTTTTCGGCTTATAAAGCATGTATGCACATTAATGCAATAGCATATTTAAACAACAAAACTGTTTACAAAAAGTCTACATATGCGCGCGTTGTTGTTGTTGTTTTTTCATCACTCAGCACGCGCACTTGAACCGCGAGGGAGAGAGAGGAAACCATCAGGACTTATTCTTTAAAATAATAATTTCTATTAAAATGTAAAAGTTTTTGTTATTATAATAATAACAGCGGGGCATTAAATAAATGCCTATTTTCCGTGGAGCGGGCAATTTGAGGAAGTCTGCGATTTTTATTTGACGGAAAAAACATGATTGGAAAAAAACAGCCTATGCCGGTTGTTAAAAAGAATCAGTCAGTATTTTCGTTTTGTAATATAAATTAATTATTTAAATGAAAATAATTTAGGGCAGTCCTATTTATTTTATTCATTTTATTTAGATTATTCTGCTCTTCTGTGCTAAACACTGCAGGTGCGTGAAGATGTTCTGTTGATCTGTTCTGTTATTAATATGCTAGCATTTAAAAATAAATCAATAGCCTATTTTAAAATGCAAAATTTTATGTGTCAGACACAAAATAGACACGTCAATTTGTTTAATATAAAATTAATAGTAATCTGACCAGTTAACCGTTATTATAATAACCGATTAATGAGCGGCGGTTGTCTGTTAGAAAAATTAACCGAAATGAGCATCCCTAGTAGCCATTTAATTTACTTTTTCTATGTAAGAGAACTTGATTGAAAAAGAATTTTTAACATGCTTGAACCATCTACACAATGGAGTTTAGTTCTGTTTGGTTTTACAAAAGTATTGTGTTACAAAGAAAACAAAAATGATATAATTTTATTAAATAAAAAAATAGTTTTAAAAATCTTTTTTTCCCCACCCCACACGAAAAAAAATATCGTGATACGAATCGAATCGTGGGTCAAAAATCGTGATATATATATATATACATATACACACATACACACACACAGTTATATTGGGCCTTTGCCAATACTGGAACTAACAGAACCATTTGTAAGTTATGTGAAAAATGTGTTTAATGCAACCCCAAACTGATTCAAGATTTTGTAAAAGAGCATAACAGGATCCCCTTGATACGTGACAAGACTATGTAAACAATTATAACAATTCATAAAGTTTTCTTAATTTAAACAAGTAAATGCTTTAACCCAGAAACAGAAAGAAGCAAATTTATTGATATGAAAGTTAAAAGGTTTGAATGATGTTCACCTACCTCCTCCCTGATGAAAAAGAAGGTATTTACATATGCTGCTCCTCCCAATAGACCCTCAAAGGCAATAATAACAAACACCACAGATATGTTTGGCAAGAACTGGTAATACACCGCGAATACCAACAGAACAGCATTGGCACACTGAGGGAGAAAGAGTAACGCATGTCATGAAAAGGGTTACAAATGTATTAACTACTGTTGTATATGTATGTGTTAGCTCATGCTTTCTTGTGTTTTACATCATATTTCACCTGTAAGAGGGACATGAGAAAAATCTTCCTGATTTTAAAACAGAAGAGAGACGTACGCGACACAAACACTCCAATCTGATAAACTGTCTGATACCTGCAGAGGAGAACATGACAACATTTAGGTTGAAATAAACTACATCATATTTCAAGCACACTGGTCTAAAACAGGGCTTTTCAATCTTTTAGGACACACGCCACTTTCTCCACTTTAACTTGCTTGAGTGAAACTGCCGAACTGCAGTTAAAGTCAAAAAATAAAGATGAAACACCAGAAATTACATAAAACTCTGCAGGAAACATGGATAGCCTGGTGACGCAACATTTAAAAAGCGCTTTATGTAAACACCCTAATTATTGTCTTATTCAGACTACGGCAAATGACTAGATTACTGATTTCCATGTAAACGTAGTCAGTAGTGTCTTTAAAGTAAGTGGAAGATCCAAAAGGGCAGATTTGATTCAGAAGGGCACTTTTTGCAACCCAGGCTCATTCTGAAAACGTACTGCTATGCACATTTCTGGAGAGCACCAAATACATCTTAGGAGCTACATTTTTTTGCAGTTTTTGTTTTTGTGAATCCACTAGAGGCCACTGTGTAAGCTATTTAGATCTCAAATTTCTCTTGTGAGTGCCATTTGCGTCTGCTCTTCTCACTTTAATCCACCAGAGGCCGCTGTCTGACTGACTGACTGACTGACTGACTTATTGACTGACCCACCTTCTTTCTTCCCTGAACCCAACCAATAGTGTTTTCTAAATCACCGATGACCTGCTAAAAAATAAATAAATAAATAAAATTCCCAAAAAAGAAAAGCCCTTGTCTGATTTTTACCACATTTTCAGATTTTATCACATTCTTACTCTGTTTTTTTCTTGTTTATTTTATTTTTTGGATTCTGTTTTTGATGCACCCACTTTCTGGAAATGTACTTTACCGGACTCGAACCCAGTCAAGCGAGAAAACCAACCATACAGAGGTAAGCGGTCAGCTGGTAAGTGCAAAAAGAAATGGCATCATAACACCCCGTAGCGATCTTTTAAAGATAAAATGTAGCCATATGTACTTCTGGCTACATAATTTGCAATCTCCAGAAACGTACATAGAGCTACATTTTCAGAATGAGTCTTTGTTGACTTTTTGCCAGATGGCTCACCAGTTTTACTTTTTTCCCCCCCTTAATAATTATAAAAAGCACCCGGTCCATTTTATTTGTACATTAACTCTACAAGTGACAGTTAGCTGTGGACCTAAAGTTAACCAGATTCACTCTAGTGATCGTATAAAAATAGTCATCATAATTTACTCGAGTGCACACCTTGAATTCTCACACCCCTCTTAATACACCCCACAGGTTGAAAACCCCTGGTCTAGAACATTCATAAAAGTGCATTTTTGATGTTCCCTTAAAGGTTCACGAAACCCTCAAGTACTTTTTGGAGATTTTAACAGATTTGTATGTGTTGAGCATCAGTTAAAACAATGTTAGCACCTGTCAGCTTTAATTGTGGGAAAAACTGGACAATTTTGCTTTTGTTAGCTAATTTCATCTTCCGGGATTAAAATAATTTTTGTGGTGGGATCAAAATCGGTGACGCATGGCACACAGTATTTAGCTGTTCATGAAGGGTCATATGTGTTTGTTTCCATGATCCACAGGGTTTTGTTTCATGTTTTTCTCTGCGATGCCGTCAGGGCCAATACAGCAAAGCTGTTTGTGTCCAGCAAGCATTTTTGTCGGGAGAGCAGTATGAGAGGTGGAGTATGTTGTCTTTTATCAGGAGTTCGTGCACATTTAGACACATAGCCGTGCTGCTGTGTTTGCCTAAATCTTCTAGATTACCAACAGGGCTAATGGTTAAAATAGACAGGGCAGGAGACCTGCAGCACTGAGTCTGCATTCAGACCTATGATTCAGACCCGGGGATTGAGGGAAACGTCCTCATTTATAGTGTTTATATGAACATGAATATCTTTATAATGATATAAATTGTGGTTGTCTGTATATGAAATTACGAATAACAAATGTAGCAGGGCAATAAATTACTGTTTATTTCTTTGCATTTTAACTTTATAAACTATAAAATCATGCGTCTCTTCGCGGTTTGCGTCTCATTTTGTGAACTAACTGACAACAGTTGTTCGCTGCCCTTCTTCTCCCCTGCTGGCCACGCCCACTCCTGCCCTTTGCTCGCGGAGCTCCACGCCCATTATGATGCATCTTTTTAAATAATACAATTCTGAGGTAGACCTAAACCGAAAGAGGGGGGTGTCATGACCCTTTAAAAAGATAGTTTACCAAAAAAGTATTCTGTCATCATTTCCCCATGTTGTTTCAAATATGCATCCCATTATGTCTTCTGTGGAACACAAAAGAAGATATTTTGAGAAATGTCTTGTGTGTTTTTATTCTTTTGTCAATATAACAGAAGTCAAACAGTACCAAGACTTTTTGTTCATTAACATTCTTCAAAATACCTTCCTTTGAGTTGCACAGAGAAGATAGTCAGTCATACAACTCTGAAGCTGCATGAGGATACATTAAATAATAATAAAAGGAAACACTACCAGGATAAAAATGTGTTTTATGACTGAGACTGAATCTTTTTTTCAGCATTACGGCACAAAGAACTTTTCTCTTGAGGACATTATTATAGTGCATTATTTATACAGCTTTTATACATTTTAATAATTCTGTCTTATAATTACTACTAAATACATTTTTATTCAAAGTATCTTTACCCATATCTTTTTTTTCTATTAATTGATGCATTTAAAAAAAATGCTTTTGCAAAAGTTATTTTACAATTAAAGGCCTTTTTGGATAAATATATACTTTGGTTAATCAAGGACTTATTCAATTAATAAAAAGTTACAGTTATGACATTTACAATATTACAAAATATTTCTATTTTACATAAATGCTGTTTTGCTGAATGTTTACTTTCTCAAAGATCACAAACATTTTACACTGTCCACAAAAGCATTAATCAGGTAATGCTTTTTTAGATGAATAATAATACATTTCACATTAAATTTGGAATAATGATTTGATTCTGAAGACTATAAATAATATAATAATTACCAAGATTTACCAAAGAAAATTATTTGGAAAAAGTAAATATTTTAAGTGTTATATTATACAACATCACTGAATTTCTAATCAAATGAATCTATTAATTTAGACCCCAAGGTACATTAGTAGTGCAACGTTACTAATAGTTGTAAAGGAAATTTTTAATAAACAACATATTTTTGTCAAATGCAGACAGCAGCTAAGCTCTTTTGTACTGGTCAAGGCCAAAGTCACACACATTGTAACACTCTTAGTCAGGAGTTAGGAAAGCACAACAAGATAATTTTTTTCCCACCAGAAGTATATCTTTTCTGGAGTTTGGCACATATTTAAGTGTACATGCACTGAGGGGTTTAAATCCGAAAAAAACAGGTGTAACACCTGTCATCCTGTAGGAATATTTTAATACTAAACAATATTCCTATTTTAAACTACTTTTTTGCTTTGCTCTACCCCTGACTGACTGAAGTCTAGCCTGATGATATGATGTCTTACCAGCGATATTGTTCAGCGTGTGAAAGTCTGGAGTCAGGAAAGTAGAGTAGCTCCATCTAATGAGAGATGAATGAATTTATAGTGAGTATTATTGCTGTATTGCTGTTTTACTGTTAATTTCTGATAGAGAAAACACTCACCAGTCCTTGGTTGATGAAATACTCAGCAAAGTAAACCAAAGCAAGAGGAAAAATAAACTTCAACAGACCCTAAAAAAAAAACACACATGTGTAAGAGCACAAACAAAAGAACTAGACTATAAAGTATCTATCTCTGTTTCCAAGCAAAAGCTGCGTAAATATTGTAATGTATTGGATAAAATATTTGCTAATAAATTACTCTTTCGATCCTATGTTCAAGAGAATAAAACAGTAATTTCCTGAAAAAATATAGCATGATTTATAAATAATAAAAATAAATGTTTATACAAGCTAAGAAGCCATTTTAGATTTTTTTTTTGTCCAAGGTAAACAAACGTCGCACCTTTAAGTGGAAGACAACACATATTATCACACACAGTAACACACTCACTCATTTCTTCATTCATTTGTATTGAGTAACAGTTTTATACATTATAAATAAACATTTAAAAAACTTAATAAAAGCAAAAACTAACTTAGTCACTAAAACATTTGTGCAAATTAAAATCACATCTTGGTGTTTCCATTCAATGTTTATGTAATATAAAATAGACAAAATAAGATGTGGACCGAAACATAGCTAATAAAGAACATTTTAATTGTGCTGGGCACATAAAAGGTGTTTAATTGAAAATAAGGACACTAACTGAATTTAGATGTTTAAAACGCAGCCCTAAAGCAGGTCTGTGTCTGATCAGAATTCAGCGTTTAAAGATGTTGTACTGCTTTAAACAGTAAACGGAAAAGTCAAAACATTTATCGTTTAAACATATAAAGATAAAGAGGTTTTAGATTTGGTTTCTGTGCCGCCTTTGCTGTGTAAAGATGCCTCAGTACAACTATTGCAAACAAGGATCACATGCAAATTCATTGCAAATAAGCATCATATGACTAACTGGATATGCTTCGTGTTACCTCAGTAATTGTATAATGACTTAATATAACAATATTACAGAGATACAGTTATTGGAACATGTGAAGCATAAGCCTGTGGGATTTACAGTTGATGTTCAGAATTATTAGCCCTGCTGTTAAATTTAAATTATTTCATATGTTTCCTCAATTTCTGTTTAACATAGAGAATAGATAATAGTTTTGATAACTAATATCTAATAACTGATTTATTTTATCTTTGCTATGTTGACAATAAACAATATTTTACTAAATAGCTTTCAAGACATTAGTATTCAGATTAAAGTAAAATTTAAATGGGTTGACTAGCCAAGTTAGGGTAATTAGGCAAATCATTGTATAACAATGGTTTGTTCTGGAACTAATGGAAAAATATTACTTAATGGGGGCTAATAATATTTACCTTAAAATGATTTTAATGGCTTTTATTCTAGCCAAAATAAAAAAATAAGACTTTCTTCAGAAGAAAAAAATATTATAGGAATTACTGTGAAAAATTGCTCTTGCTCTGTTCAACATCATTTGGAAAATATTTAAATATTTATAAAGAAAGAAACACTTTTTCAACAGCTCATTAAGCAGAGATGGCAAAAGTGCACACATCCTTTACTCAAGAATCAGTACAGATGCTCATGTGTAAAACGACTACACTTTTGTACTCAAGTAAAAGTAAAGAAGTATGGCCTCGGCAACGCAGTAGGCAGTAGTTATTACTGGCAATCGCAAGTTTAGCCACATTACTCCTATCCGGTGCTCCCTAAATTGGTTGCCGATATGTTTTAGAATTGAGTTTAAAATTGTAATGTATGTTTTTAAGGTTTTAAATGGCCGAGCTCCAACTCATCTGTTGAATCTTATCAATGTTAAGATATCTGACAAATGGCTGAGGTCATCAAACAAAAGAATGCTAGTTGTTTCCAGATCCAAATTGAAAAAAAGGAGATTGAGTCTTCTCAGAAGTAGGTCCTAAAATGTGGAATGGGTTACCTATGTCCATTAGAACAATTTCCAATCAATCTTTGTTCAGGGGGAAACTTTAACTACACATTCCAGAAAGAGCTTTTAAATTAGGAGAAAAACTGATCCTATTGTACCTATCTGGTGTCTTGTTATTTATCGGTGATGCTTTTTGGTATGTTGGATGTATTCTATGTTGTTTTATCTCTCTTTGTTTTTAGGTTTGTACAGCACAATGCTCAACGACTGTTGTTTTATTGTGTTTTACAAATAAATAAAACAAAAGTTTCATTTTTGGGTGAACTAACCCCTTAAGCGACTGGCGAGTGTGTGTATATATATAACAACTAATCCAAAATGACTTACTGCACATTTATTTTCATTCAAGCAGAAAAAAACTTAATCCACGAAGCAGGTCTAACCTTAATGATGTATTTTTTCTCAGTGAAGGTTAGGGGTCCGATGTGTTTGTCATCTATCAGAAACAAGAAAACACAGGCAGTACAGTCATTCGAGCAGACACCATACACATCATCATATTGAAAATAAGATACAAGCAACAAATTCCACATACCTTGATCTTCCAGAGCTGGTTCAGAGTCCTCATCTGTATCCGTGTCCTCCTCAATTAAAGCTCGTCTCTCCTCAGAGTTCAGCCCTCTGGAAAGGCTCTGACTAACCTCGGGGCATCTCCACTGTGGAAATGAGTGCGGAAACACCAGGAGGACAAAATAGCTGAAAGGAAAAGATGCAGTTTATGTGCTTGTGTTCAAATGTGATATACAATCTAGTAGGCTGAGAAAATTCTCCTGACCTAACAGCCAAAATAACAGGGACCACCAGCATGATCCATAGAGTAACTTGTGGGGTCAGGCCAGCCTGTGTTAATGCAGAGTAGAGTAAAGCTCCAGCGACTCCTGCTGCCCCTGTGCCGGACCCCCAGCCACTTAACACGTCACTAAAAAGATGGAAACACAAATGGAAAGCATTGAGAAACAGTTAATTTATAAATGAGCTAAAGAAAAAGTGCTTAGCTTGCTCAGCTCAATATAGCATATCAACAATGTATAGTTTAAACACAAAGGTCTGAAAACACTTGACAGGGATACATTTATATTTTTGGGTGAACAATTTTTTTAAACTGTGTTTGTAAAAATGGAATATGTATGCTAACAGTGAGTGTTTTGTGTTCATCAAGTATTTTAATTGACCAAACATACACAATATATGATGACATTTTACTTACTGTTCTATTTGCATATACAGTCTTATGCAAAATTTTAGCCACCCCTTAATACAGTGTTTCTCAACCACGTTCCTGAAAAACCACCAATACCGCATGTTTTGGATGTCTCCTTTGTCAGTCACACCCAATACAGGTCTTTCAGTCTGTGTTAATGTGTTGATGATCTAAATCAAATGTGTTTGGTTAAGAAGACATGGAAAATATGCAGAGCTGGTGGTCCTCCAGGAACGTGGTTGAGAAACACTGCCCTAGTAAATAATAAATAGGTGATTTTTTCTAATTGACATAGTATATCTTAGAAATGACAAAAAATGCACAATATTTTCAGCAAACATTTATGCATAGTTGCTAGTTTTTTTTATTCATAATTAAATCTGTTATTTATCAAGGGGTGGCAAAACTTTTGTATAAGACTGTATTTTAAAATGTAACATATTCCTTTGATTGAAAGCTGAATTATCAGCAACATTACTGCAGTCTTCTGTGTCAGAAATCCTTCTAATATGATTATTTGTCACTATAAAATTCATTTATTACTTTTATCAATGTTGAAAAAAGAGATTCTTAAGAACACCATTTAGTTTAGCATTAAATAATCTGATTTTATGCATCCACAGAATATCCTCACAACCTACTAAATTTGATTGAAAATAAATACATAAAAATCACCATCAATATACACAACTAAATTCTACATCTCTCAGTCATAATACAGTTAGATTGAAGCTTGCTTATTGGGCTTTTATATTTCGATCAAAATTACACAATAATAATAACTGTCCATTTTTCATCTTAATCCCTACTTTTTTTTTTAGGAGTCATCCCAAAATGGAATGAACTGCCAAAATAACTAATTCATTTATAAGAAAGTCCCTTTTATGCAAGTCATTTCACTTAGCGGGCATCTTTAAAACACCTCTCGGGCAGTATACTCGGGCATTCTGTCTGAATGGGGAAACATCAAATTCTCCAAAACTGCTTTAAAAGCTTAAAATTCAATTCCATATTAGGAACCACCAATAAAATTAAACAACAACAGTCCCTTTAGTTTCATTTCTAAACATCCAAATTATACAAAACCTGCAGAAACTCATGTCTGGCCCGAGCCCCTCCACCGGAGTATCGTCAGTCTATAGCGACTGATGATTGGCTGTTGTACTAGAAGGTGGGCTTTATTCACTATATAGCGATCGATGATTGGCTCATGTACTAGTAGGCAGGGCTTTACTCACCATTACCAAAGAGCATAGAATCACTAAGAGGCAACACTATAGTGCAATTTGGGAGCCATTATGAAATGAAAATTCCAATAGAACAACAACATTTATTATAAGTGTGTAAAATAAACTGTTAAAAGTGCTGATGATTGTGATAGTAAGTGTTGTATTGTCGTATTTCAGTTTGTATCTCAGCTTTAATGCGTCTTTAAATAAATAAATAAAAGCAAAGCAGCTGTCTGCCATCGCAACAGCAATAAGATCCAATAGACAGCAGATCGCTTTCACACCAAAATGGCGGAATCTAAGGCTGTTGCTGGGCGCTGCTGTTGCAATGTAACGTTCTATTGAGTGTCGCCTCTTGGTCATTCTAAGCTCTTTGCCATTATTCACCGTTACACATTTCCCCATTCAAAAAGATACAAGTGACATGTCTCTGCTTTCTAGAGTCTTTGTTTATAGATATTACAAATTTTGTTCCCAGAAAAGAGTTGCAGCTGGCAGGGCATCGCTGCGTAAAACATATGCTGGAATAGTTGGCGGTTCATTCCACTGTGGTGACCCCTGATAAATAAGGGACTAAGCCGAAGGAAAATGGATGAATAATTAAAACAAATTTTTTATACTAAATAATAATGATTATTATTAATTTAATTAGTGAATGTCCCCACTTGAATAAATGAATGGGTTTGTAAGATGCTCTACCTGCTGAAAAACACTGAGAGCGAGAGGAAGGAAAGTTCTCCCAATCCTGAACTAACACTTGCAAAGATGACACCTGAGAAAAGATTCAACACATTCATCAGATATCATGTACCAATTTTTAAAATAAGAACACAAACACACATGCTCATTACCAATTATGCTCATCGATATTGTTGATGAAAATGACACCATCAGGAAGCTGACTACTGCCGTAAAGAAACACACCAAAACACGGAATCTGTTTACAGTGAAGAGAGAAAAGAAAACATCATCATCAATTAAGTAACAATTTTATCTGCTTTTTTTCTCTTGAATTCAATAGAACTGCACTGCAAATAATGCTTTTCATGCTTTTTTGTCTTGTTTCTAGTCCAAATATCTAAAAATCCTAAATCAAAATGTATTTTGATTTATATTGTCTTGTTTTAAGAAATAACATCTAGGCCTGTCACAACAATAAATATATCGACTTATCGCACAACACATGGACATTACCTCAATCATCTTTTGGTGATCTACACTCTACACTCTCTGGCCACTTTATTAGGTACACCTTACTAGTATTGGGTTGGACCCCATTTGTCTCCAGAACTGCCTTAAACCTTCGTGGCATAAATATAACAAGGTCCTGGAAATATTCTTCAGAAATTTTTATCCATATTGACATGATAGCATCACGCAGTTCCTGCAGATTTGTCGGATGCACATCCATGATGCGAATTCACCACATCCCAAAGGTACTCTATTGGATTGAGGTTTGGTGACTGTGGAGGCCATTTGAGTACAGTGAACTCATTGTCATGTTCAAGAAACCAGTCTGAGATGATTCGTGCTTTATGATATGGCACATTAAGTAGCCATACACTGTGGTCATAAACCCTAGAGATGGTTGTGCGTGAAAATTCCAGGGGATCAGCAGTTTCTGAAATACTTCGACCAGCCAATCTGGCACCAACAACCATGCCACATTCACTTAAATCCCCTTTCCTACCCATTCTGATGCTCGGTGTGAACTGTAGCAGATAGTCTTGACCATGTCTATATGCCTAAATGCATTGAGTTGCTGCAATATGATTGGCTGATTAGAAAGATTAGAAATTAGAGCAGGTAGACAGGTGTACTTAATAAAGTGGCTGGTGAGTGTATTTCACTCGTACATAAAAAAAACATTCAAACAACATTTTAGCTGATTGTGCAACATCTGTATCTCTAATGGAGGTGTCGGTGTCAGTATGGCTAAAAAACACCATAGTATTTACTGTAGATGACTTGTATTTACTAGTATTTAGCATTTACTAGTAAATAGTATTTACTATAAATGATAGCATATTTTCATGTGGATGTTTGACAACTGAAAATAGATCTGGTAGCAGATATCACAGACTCTGTTACTGTTTTGCTTTGCGCTTTTTTGTTAAGATTTATTATTGATTTGTTTAGAATATATGCATTTTTATATTCTGATTCCAATGCCTGATTATTAAATTGTTAAAATGACTATAATTGACCCTAATTATTGTGTTAAGCTGCTATGGGGTGTTTGGGTCTTGGGGTGGGACTTGTGTTAAAACAAAAACAAAAATAATAACAATAGAAAGAAGGAAACTGTTATGTTTATTGTTGTATTGTATGTATTCTTTCCATATCAAAAAATGATAACACAGCAATAATTTTAAAACAATACCAACAATCAACTCACATCATTATAAAAACATTTTATAAGGAGTTCCTCCAAGTGCCATCTGAAATTTTCTTCTAGAATGAGCATTTTTCACAAACTCCTGTGTGTTCAGTAAATCCACTTTTAAGGCAAAAAATAGGCTCTTTGCGTTGCCTGATGTGAAGTTACTGAACAAAAATATTGGATGGTTTTGGGTGATACTTGGAGATTTTTGCATCTGAACTCTCAAATCTAAAACAATTTTAAAAACATCCCTCAGCACTTTGAGCAAACTTGTTTCCTTGTGGCATTTCAAATATTAGATTACAGCAGAATTCACTTTATGTTAAACAATCTAAAAATATTTAGTAAAACAGTAGTTCTCAAATCCTTTATTTCCCTAAGTCCCTTTGATTTTTCCAGTTGTTTGTGATTTACTTGATAAGAATGGATAATTTATACTCCCAATTCCTACCCAATAAAATATTAAAACATAACAAAGGGAAAAGGGGAAAAAAACTCAAATTAAATGAAATATTTTTAAGAATAAAATATGATGTGTTCTTCAGAAGAGTGTACTTGCATTATAATGCTATTACTCTCATTCTGGCATTATATAATAAGTGGCATAAAATGGTCTTAAAATGACAATAATATAGTTTATAACAATATATTTTGGTTCGATATATTGTATAACAAAAAAATATATTGAGACACGTCTAATAATATATACAAAATAAGTGAGTTTTTCCTTAAAACAAGCAAAATAATCTGTCTATGAGGTAAGAAAATAATCTTATGTCAAAAGAAAAAAAAACACGATTATTTTTAAAAAGTTTGTTGATTTAATAATCATTTGATAATTGGACTAGAAACTAATCTAAGTAAGAAAAACATAGCAGAGTGTTCATTTAACTGAAAAACATCAGACTTTGTCCCTTTAAGTTTAAGAACAGTTTTGCCATTGATTTCAGTGTCAATCCATCTCTTTTCACAACACTACATTATTTGCATTTAAAGCTACATGGCTAAACCTGTTCATATTTAAGCAGTTAGACCTCAAATAAAGAAGTGCTTGTCAACTTACCCATAAGGCACTTTGTGTATGTAGAAAGGTGCTGTGAGTTTGATTAATAGGGTGGGTAGGATATCAGCCAACAGCACAGCCTAGAAAGAGAGACAAAACAAAAGTCTCATTATTCCCTAATCAAATATTTGCATACGACAAGGCAACATGACAGACAAGCGTATAAATGAACAGGGTAAATGAAAAATGTAAGAGAAATATAAAGGCACTGAGGGAAGACAGACTTACAGCAGTGGACACAGGATTGCAGTCATAGCGACTGCTGTTGCTACTGTTCCTGAATTCTATGTTAGTCCCATTTGGAGCTGGACTCTAGTGAGTGAACCGAACAAAAGCATCAATAGTCACACAAGTCAAAAACAAGTACAGTTTAGCATAGTTCAGTCTAGAGTGCATACAATTTATTTTATTTATTAATATTTTTGTATTAATACATTTAATAAACACTTTATTACGCCGATGTCTAGATTACTTGATTCTGATTGGTTAGTTGCAACATTCCAAGGTACAGTATGTTATCCCAAGATAACAACAACTAAATCACCATATGTACCAACATTCCCATTTATCTGGGGATTCCCCCATATTTCAATAATTTTCTGTTGTTTTCTGCAAAATAAAGTTTTTTGTTGAAATGCCTTAGTTATTTTGTGGAAAAGGTGTTCTGGTAGCATGGTATTGACGGGACAAAAACTCCTTCAACTGTTGAGCAGTGAAGATGACATTATTTCAGAATTGTTCAATTATTTGTAAATTGTTCTTGTTCTCTAATTTTGATCGCCATTGTATATATATATATATATATATATATATATATATATATATATATATATATATATATATATATATATATATATATATATATATATATCCATGTTAGTTATACTTTATTTTGCAACCTCACTGTCAAAATGAACCAATGCATGTAAGTACTGTATAATACTAATTAAATGAGTGTATTATATTTGGATTGGACTTTTCATGACGGTTAGGATAAGCTGCATGTAATTACCCAAAATGTATTGTTATTACTGTACTAAATAAATTAGTGTCACTGTGTATTGGTGTTTACTACAGTGTAGAATTGATCCAGCTTTATTTTTGAAGGAAAATGAAGACGTTGTGAAACCTATGAAAGAAATTTAATGCTGAGCAGTAAAAACACAATGCTCAGAGGTTTCTTACAGGTGCTGTTGTGTTTTGAGACTCTTGTTTCTGTAAGATGTCATGTGCTGCGCTCAGCATCACCACATATGCAAAGTTATTGCAAAGCCCCAGCAACCTAAACAGAGATAATACAGATTAGTTTACATATCATATCACTTAATGCAATGTTGACAGAAGATTGACTCAACATTACCAGAACGCAACACAATTCCTCCAGCGTTGACAACGACCTGAAGACACACACAGATACACACATTTTCAGCCTAAATTATGAATAATAAAATACAGTTAAAATGTCGTTAAAGCATCTTACCTTCGGTGTCAGATGTACTGGCAGTGCCAGAATTGACTGATCGATCCATTGCGACTTTCACAGGAGAAATGTGTCACATAGAGAAAACTTAAAGTCTCTCGCTGAGGCAAGTTTAAACGCGGACAGTCATAAACACTGTAGATTCATGACAGCGGTCATCGTGTATGATCATCGCTCATCTGCGGTGTTTTATGTCGAATCAACAGAAAGGTGTTACTCTCTTCCACTTTCATCCCCTCAAATGCTTGACAGTCGAACGCAGTAATCACAGCAGCAGTCCGTGCGGCACAGAAATACATCCGACCGAGCGCACTGCAATGGCGAGAAAGGTAAATAGTTCCCAGCAGCACTACTGTGATATCATATTATGCAATGCAAATCTATTGGTTGTTTCTGTCCTAAGACAAATTAAAACTAGGCAACAAACACTTAAAAGAATCAAGAATTATTGTAATAAATAAGTTTATCTTTCATTAAAGATTGTCAGCATAGCATTCCCCCCCATTATTCTATACAGTGTCCTTTGAGTTAAAGTCTAATATTTCATAATATTGAATATGTACTTTATAAACTGAATATGTACTATAAATTATGTACAATGCTACGTGTTACTTTAAAAAATTGTGTATTTAATAATCTGTAGTTAAATATATTTCTTTTAAATACAGCTTTAACCTTGTTGGTAACATTGAGTCTAGTATTGGTGCCTTTGAGCATTAATTGATTAACATACAAAAACAGTCAAATCTTTCTTCTGACTTGGGCATTTTCAGGATTTTTTCTTATCTTTTAGTACTGAGACATATAGATACAAAACATATATAGATATCTGCAGTACATTGCCATTCAATACATAAGTTTACCTAAATAATAAACAGAACAGTAAGAATAACCATAGACATATTAATAAACAGCATATCTATTATAATGTCTATGAGAATAACTGTTAAAAATCATTAGAATGTTTTATTGCAGTTGTCAATGTCTCCATCTGTTGGTCAACCTTCATAAATGCATCAAAATAAACTTGCAGGAATAAACAAAATAAGGACATCAGAAATCATGTTTGTAGTATTTTTTGTCCGTACTTTTTCTCTTTTGAGGAATCCTAAAATCAAAAGTTTTATCCCATGTAAACAATTTCGCCAGAAAACAATATGTATTATTTTGTTTAAAATTGAATCTAATAATGAAAATTATCTGAAAATTAGTAAGAAAACTTTTGTTTTTTTAGAACATTTGTAATAAAGTTATGACAACATAATCACTACAATTGATAGTTTTTTTTTTTTTTACAATTGTTTTGGTTCATAATGAAAAGTGCAAAAATTTGATGAAAGCGCTTTTAAGAAAATATATAAAATGTGTAACCAGTTTTAGAACAAATGTGCAATAATATACACCACGACAAAAGTCTTGATGTTGATCCCAGCTGTAACAGCAACAAATAATAACTTGACGTCTAGTTGATCATTTGGAAAATGGCAGAAGGCAGATTTTTCTGATAAATCATCTGTTGAACTGCATCCCAATCATCACAAATATTAGGATAGCACTCCTCCTCATTCTTCAACCTCCACATCAAAGTTTCTGAAACCAAAGAAGGTCAAAGTGCTTCAGGATTGGCCAGCCCAGTCACCAGAATAAACATTGTTGAGCATGTCTGGGGTAAGATGGAGGAATTGTAGATGGATCCAAAGAGTCTTAATGAATTCAAGATGAATCTTGAAGTCCTGCAAGAACACTTTCTTTGCCATTCCAGATGACTTTATTAAGTTATTTGAATCATTTCAGAAATGTATGGATGCTGTCCTTCAAGCTCGTGGGAGTCATACACAATAATAATTCTTTTTCCACTGCACCATGGATTAATTTTCTATACTGTACATTATTTTTGTTAAGTGACAAGACTTTTGTCTAAGCAAAGTCAGACCTTACTGTCCTAATTAAGTCATTAAAAACCAAGGCTTGATCATATTTTATTTGGGTAAAATAAGCGTAATCTAGAGGCATTTGCCTTTCATATTTGCCACTTCTGATACCAAATGATCAACTAGAAGTCAAGTTATTTTTTGTTGGTCCTAAAAGTTGGATAGGTGACAATAATTTTGCAAGGTAGTGTATATATTTATTTTCGTTTACTTAATTTCTATTGCATGTTGTTGAAAAGTTTAAAGATTTCAAAACAGTAGGTTGGGAGTTATTTCCTGAAATAATTTGATTTTAGCCAGATTAACATCCACGATCCAAGAATTGTAGGGCACTCATTATTAGATCATTCATCACTAAAAAAAAACTTAATTTTAAAGATCAAATGTCTACCACTCATTTTACTTTTATAAATTACCATACTCAAACTTGAATTATTGAATATTCTGTTGTTGTAATTAAGTCTATTGTTAATTTTCAGTCATTTATTCAAAAAATACTATAAAGCTGAAAAATGTTACTTTTGTTACTTTGCAAAAATGCTCCTCAAGTCAATAACCATCATATAAAACTAAGTTCTTGATTCAAAAATAAATAAATAAATCACCAGATAGGTGTTCAAGGGGAAATTTTGCAACAATTCTGACTCAAAACCTCACAAATGTGTCATCTGAACAACCACACAAACACAAAGAGGAACAACCGTTAGGTTAGAATAAAGATACTTTACTGTTCTTTTTCCAGTGTCTGTAATATTAAACATTTACGATAATAATACACCCTTGAAAGGTGTATGTGTTTTGTGCAAGTCAAATACAGTTAATAGAAGTACTACAAGTACAACAGCAACATTTCTCTACATCAGAACACATAGGACCGTCATTAAAATAGAGGGGGGTTTATATATCGAGGTTATTAAATCGTCATTATTACTCTTTTAGGTTTCATCTCTTAGTTTCATAATCTTGTTTCACACATGGAAGTAACAAACACTAGAAAGAAACAGGGAATGGGTCAAATGATGGAGTCAATAGCAGGTTGAGTGATTCTTCAGGAATAAGATGAGGAGTGAAATGTAAAAGGCATCTTGGTGATTAGTAGGCATGATTGGCCACAAAGAGAGACTCTCCAGCAGCAGCACCCTTATCTCCCGAGGACACATACTTTCCAACACAGGCCTGGCTGTTGTTCTGCAGATTTGGGAAACACAAGACAAAAATGTAAATCAACATGAGAAATTCTCAGCCTCCTTCTGAATTGATACTTTCATGTCTTTATTTCCAATGCTGAAATTAAACATTGGTCTTTTAAAGTCTGTGAATTCAAAATGTACAATGTCTCTTTTGCTAGCGCACATTGTTGTTCTTTAGGTGAACAATTAATTAGTGCAAGTTAATCCATTAAAAATAAAGGCATAAATGCATGATTTCCAGTAGGACTGTGCGATTAATTGAAACTGTAAGTTGGACATGCGTAATTTCTAAATCGTGTTACAGCATGATTTTCCTGCAGTATGGTATTTGAACCAATCATAGCGCAGCACACCTAAACAGTGTGTGAGAACAGGAGACAGAATAGCCTGCGTATAGAGCAATGATGACTTCAGCACAGTGCTTGGTGCAAAAAAGTCAACATCTGTGGTATGGGATTAAGTAACTTTGGATTCAGGAAGGCTGATGTATGGCAGAACCAGGTAATTTGTAAGGCAATCATATATTGCGTATAAAAGTGTGTGGAAAGTGTGAGCGTGTCACTTTCTTAAGCATTTTTAATGTGCTTTGTGGTTGCTCCTTTGTCATTGCTCAGTGACCATCAACCGTTTTCTCAGAGGATGATAACCTTACAAAACAGTGCTGCAGTACGATGCAAGTTTCATGTATGGAGAGAATGAAAAGCACTTCAGGTGTCTTGTGTTTGTCTGAGGTAACTGAAATGTGTATATTTCACAGAATGTATGAAGCTAATCAGTCAGTACTTGTTACGGTCAAGAAAAGTTACAGCAATTTAAAATAGTTACATTTTAAGTTTGTCTGATAAGAGTGGTTTTCAGCTGGGTGCACCAGGCATACAAGCGCGAGAGTGCCGCTCTCAATGTGTGCACGCAATCAATCTACCTCTATTGGAAATGATGGACTTGTGCGCACAAAAGAGCCAATATGTGAATGACCCATTTCACGGCAGCGCCACAAAGAGGTCTATGATCTATGCATGTCAAAACAAATCTGTGAACACGCACGCAACTACTTCTGATATTTGGTCAAACAGAACATCAGAGCACACACACACACACGTTTTGCTTTAGGTCTGTTCTAAAGTTACAGCTTTAGTAGGTGATTTTTATTTTATGTCTGTTTTAAAGACATGATACAGGTCTTTAGTGAAAATCTAATTATTTTTCCTTTTGAAATATATTTCAGAGTCACACTGTAAACACAGATTCAGTCTGTGAGACAAAATTGTGATTAAAATCTAAATATTGTTCAAGTAAACCGTAATAGGCTTCTTTTGCCCATATCATAATTCCCAGACTATATTATTCTTTATGCCATTATCCTTGTAGTCATAGTGTTGATTTTTACACTCTTGTTAAACTAGTTATTAGAATGTCACATTCATTGATATGGCTGATGGCTTACAGAAAGAAGCAGTTGCTGAAATAGGTTTTTGAATTCACAGATTAGTAACCTCAGATGATCTTAAGTTCTGGAAACTTACAAGAGCTCTCTTTATGAACTCCTCCTGGCAGGCCTTGCCGTTCTCCTTCTTGCCACCCCAGGCTTTGAGGGCAGATGCCTGCAGTGCACGACCGTAGGAGAAGGTCAGAGCCCAGGGCCTGTGAAGAGGACACTGGTTCATGGCATTGAGGTTGAGCGTGGCCTCCTCCTCACTCTGGCCTCCAGACAGGAAGGTGACGCCTGTATCATTAAAAGGTGTGGCAAAATGAGTCGGGAACGTGAAAACGATAATGAATGATAAAATAATGGACATGCTCTAGAAGTTATCTGTGATAAGGTAAAGCCTGTGTCATCATGAGCTGAGTTAGCAGAGGCCTGTTTACACCAAACACAACTATTAATATAATGATAAATACATTTGTATCAACACTGACGAATGATAAAAATCTGGTTATTTTTAGTTGATACTTTGTAACACCCCTTGTAAGCAGCAGATGAGCTCAGTGAGCTTCTAGCGCAGTGGTCACCAAACTTGTTCCTGGAGGTCCGGTGCCCTACAGATTTTAGCTCCAACTCTATTCAAACACACCTGAACAAGCTAATCAAGGTCTTACTAGGTATACTTGAAACATCCAGGCAGGTGTGTTGAAGCAAGTTGGAGCTAAACCCTGCAGGGACACCGGCCCTCCAGGACCAAGATTGATGACCCCTGTTCTAGCGCATCTGACCAGTGAATCTTTATTTTAACAATGTAATAATATAATCAAAATACTTTAGTGATTATAATCAGTGTAGTGGAATAAAAACCCCATATTCCCTAGCATTTTTAAAAGAGGCAACACAAAAATGCTAAAATTAGCACTGAATACTTGAAGTACGTTTATTTTTACACTTCAATTTGCAAAGTTATAACCAATCGTTTTTTATATAGTCATCATCTTTGAAAAGTGGCCTCAACTTCAAGTAGTGCTTCTTCACAATGACATCCGTGGCTTTAAATTGGCCAAGCCCCTTTTATATGAGAGGATTCTGACTAGCAGTCAGTGTTTTATTGTTTGTTAGCCAAGAAAAAAGAAGTTCTGAAAGTGCTCCCAACAATATCATCTTTACATCTTTATCATTATGGTTGTAGTTTATACTCTGCTGTTGTTTTACATTCAGAACTATTTTTAGAACTCAATTGTTATTCATTATAGTTATCGTGCTTTGGATTTGAAACGCCCTTAATCGTGGTTAAGTACTGACCGGGCACAGCAGGAGGAACGGTGCGACGGAGAGCTGTGACTGTGGCCATTGCGATCTCCTGAGGGGTGTTTTTCTGGGAACACGCGTGTCCTGCAGTCACCATGTTGGGTTTGAGCAGAGTGCCCTCCAAGTAGACATGGTGGTCGGACAGGGCCTTGTACACAGCAGCCAGAACCTTCTCAGTCACATACTGGCACCTCTTAAGGTCGTGGTCACCATCAGGCAGAATCTCAGGCTCAACGATTGGAACGATGCCATGCTGAGGAGGAATGCAAGATTACATCAGCGTTCAAAGCATACAGAAGAGTGGGGCTAAGCAAATGTTCATTTATCATTTTAAATTACCCATATTTTAAACTATGGTAAATTTGATACTGATTGTCAGAAGCTGTAAAGCATGTTTTTTTTCAATATTCTACATTTCATATTCAATTCATCTTCATTTCTATAGCGCTTTTACAGTGTAGATTGTGTCAAAGTAGCTTGACATAGAAGTTTAAAAAGTAAACGCAAATATGTGTGAATAAATTACAAGTTAATTCAATTCATCCTCATTTCTATAGTGCTTTTTACAATGTAGATTCAGACTGTATTAAAGCAGCAAAAATAGGTTTTACAATAAAGAGAACTATATTTTAGCCATTTTCAGGTATGTTTTTTGTTTTTCTTCATTATGTGCTAATAAAAAAAAAGAGGAAAAAATCAGGTTTTAACATCAAGTGTTGAAGAGTACAGTATAGGGTTATCACATACAGAGACACTGGAGCGTTTTAAGCGATGCAGATCGCTCGTATGTCAGCTAATAGACAAAATAAGCTGATCGATGTGTCCCTTTTAGGGATGGGAAGATTAACCAATATGTATCGATACGCGGTCATGCGCGTGCACGATGCGAGTGCATCGGTTGAGCAGCAGAGGATGAATGAGATTTTGGAAGCAAATCGAGATGCATCGGTTTTTGTGAGATGCATCGGTTTTTCCGAGATACAGTTTATATTTTTAATATAGAATGTATTTTTTATTTATTAACAAGTGTTGTCAATCTGTTTTTGGCGCATAATTTAATCGACCTACATAAAGTAAGCCTTAGCAACGGATTTGTGGATGTGCACACACTACAACTCAGTGTATCAGGTGTGCGGATGAAGCTAGTGGAGCGCCCTCAGAAAGCGCGAGAAGCAAAACAAACATTTTATTCCCCACTGAGTTTTAAATCTAAAGTATGGCAACATTATGGATTTAAGGATGGACGACATGACAGATGCAATTTGCAAAATGTGCCGCGCATCTGTAAAATACGCGGGCAGTACGACTAATCTGAAATCTCACTTGAAGCGGCGCCTCGGTGTTGTTGTGAAAGCATCTTCCAGTGTTTCTGCATCCCCGGCTTTCGCACTGCTTCAACCAGCTCCAAAAGTGGTGAGAAAAGCATTGCAAGTTTTTTTCCATGCGCAACAGTTCTGCTCGCTCTACGCCAATAACGAATGCTATTGCATTGTTCATCTGCAAAGATATTCAGCCTAGTGTCACGGAGAACGAAGGTTTTAAACACCTCCTCCTGTTAATTTTTATTTAATTATAATAATAATAATATTAATAATAATAATGATAAAAATAATGGGTGGCACAGTGGGTAGTTTGACCACCTCACAGCAAGAAGATTGCTGGTTAGTTATATTTTTATTAGCCTGTTGTTTACAGTGACAGTGATGTTTCAAAGCAGCATAACACTGCTAGTTCACAACCTTAAGTTTTGAATAATCAGTGGCAAAATATATATTTGCAAAACTTCTTTTCATAGTTGAAAAGTTAAATCACAATTCTTGTTGTGCAATGCTAAATTTATTTATGTTGAAAGAGTGCAAATATATACATATTTTTTTTATATATATTGCACTTATACATTCTGTTTATCTTGAAAATACTTAAATAATATGTGCTATAGGTTCTAAAATGGCCCTCTACTGTAAACTGACACTCTGGCTCTGAGAGAAGAGCCAGTTTGTAAAAAAAAGTCTTGGTTTTGCTTGGTTTATAAATAATCAAACTCATTCAATGGCACAGCATCCTCTTTCACATCATCTCATAAACTTGATCTAATTAGTTAGTGCTGAAATATCGCATCGTATCGTGATATGGGTGTGAATCGTATCGTGTTGCATCGCAATGTCACAAATGTATCGCTAATATATCGGATCGTATTCTTTGTAACGAGATGCGTATCGGATCGGCATTATAGCTTAGATGCCCAACCCTAGTCCCTTTATGTGTGAATACATTCAGTAAACAGCAGTGGGTTTGGTGAACTGATGACCTTCATGGCCAACCAGTCTTTTCTGTTAAGCACAAGAACACAATGGCAAATCAGCGCTGTTTAAGAACGTGGTCCACACACTGCAAAAAAAATATAAAATTCTGACTTCGATTTTTTGTCCATATATCTGAAAATTCATAAATCAATAAGCATTTTCTAGACAAGCAAAACTTACTGACTTACTTTAAGAAATAATATTCCAAAATGAAGTGAGTTCTTCCTTAAAACAAGCTAAATAATCTGCCAGTGTGCTAAGCAAAATATTCTTATGTCTAAAGTAAAAACAAGATTATTTTGCTTAGCACAATGGCAGATTACTTTTCTTGTTTTAAGGATAAACTCACTTCATTTTGGCACATTATTTCTTAAAGTAAGACGGTAGGTTTTGCTTATCTAGAAAATGCTTATTGATTTAAGAATTTTTATATATTTGGACTAGAAACAGGACAAAAATGCAAATGAGCATTTTTTTGCAGTGCTTAAATGTTTGCGGGAAATGGACGTTTTTAAAATTTCAGTACTCATTGGTATCGAATTCCAGTATCATGACAATTTTGCAAATGAACTCTTATTATATATATATATATATATATATATATATATATATATATATATATATATATATATATATATATAGCAGTCTGTGTCTTACCATCTGGCAGATGCTGGCGTAGCGTGCGAGAACATTGGCGTTCTCGATGATGGCCAGTCTAGAAGGGGTTGTGGGAGTGATCTTCAGCACACACCTCCACTTAGCAAAGTCTGCCCCGTCCTTCTTATACTGAGCACAACGCTCGTACAGACCATCCAGACCTGCAAACACAGACACAAATAACAATTTAATGAGTCATAAGCACAAGTAAAAGACTGCGCCCATTCAATATCGGTCAAAGTCCACCTAGCATTACAGCTCATATCCAGCATTACAGTGGATATGAAAAGTTATAAATAACTATGTGTCATTTTACTACCCGATAATCGATTTCACACATTCAGATAAAGTCAAAATTATTAGCCCTTCTGTAAATTTTTTTAATATTCCCTAAATTATTCCCCTAATATTTGTATTTTCTGGAGAAAGCCTTATTTGATTTATTTCAGCTGGAATAGAAGCAGTTTTTAATAAAAAAAATAAAAATAAATAAAACATTAAAGGTCAATATTATTTGCCCCCTTAAGCTATATATATATATACATTTTTGATTGTGTACAGAACAAGCCACTGTTATACAATGACATGCCTAACTACCCTAACTTGCCTAATTTATCTAATTAAGTCTTTAAATGGCACTTTAGGCCAAATACTAGTATTCTGAAAAATATTCAGTAATTTATTATGTACTATCATCATGGCAAAGATAACTTCAACCGTATTTAAGGAAGTTTCACCTTGTGTGGTGGTCTCTCCATTGGTGCCAGCAAGGGGAACCACACCCTTGTCCACTTTGATGCCAACTACCATGCCCCTCTCCTTAAGGTAGTCCGAGAACACTTTGCCATCATCTGTCTTCTGGTAGAGGGTCTCGTGAAAGAGGATGACGCCACCGATGCAGGGCTTGACGCGGTCGTCTGCCGTGAACAGAAGCTGGCGGTACAACCTCCGGTTCTCCTCTGTGTTCTCAGCATTGATGCTCTGGAACCGCTTGGCCACGCTACCTGCACACGACCAGCAACATAAAGACCATTACAACACAAGCTAATAAAAGAAAAAAAAATTTTTTTTTTCTTATACATTTAATCACTTTCCATAATTATTGGACTTGTAATATTGCATTTACTGATTGCACCATCCTGTACACATTTTAAGAATCATGTGTAAGATTACAACACTGAATCAGAGATGACTCAATGCTGCTCACATAAGCAACTTCTTGTGATTTAATTAATTAAACTTATTTAACATTACAGCCATGAAATCACGAAAGTGACGCATTACATAAGCTTAGAAATAAAGTCAGACTCAGTTACATAACCAATCAAATCATGCCCAATGTAACTTGACGCAATGTCTTGATTGATGTGACCTGAAAATGGAATTTAAAATGAAGGGCTGCTCATGTTTCAACGCTATTTTGTTTTTAAGATGACTGAAATTACAGATTTAGGTTCAGTTCAATAATGTAATTGTCACAGTGTCATTACCACTAGATGTATAGCTTTATTAGTTTTGGCAGTCAGTTATCAGACACAAAAACATTTTTCTAAATCCTCAGATTCCATTGATTATTGAAATTTCAGATAATGCATAAATCTCCATTTCCAGAAATTGACTGGTTTTATGGTCCATGGAAACATATACAAATACAGAAAAAGACAATTCTCATTTTTTTCTGGATGTACAATGTATAGTGGTGTATTTTTTTATAAAAAAAACATTGCTGCATAAAATAAAAAGACCATTTTCAGACATTTGGTTTGCCTTTTTTGACAACACAACACCAAGGTTTCACTTCAGATACATTAACAAATAAAATCAGAGATAGGATTTAAGATGACTTTTAAAAAACCACAACAATTAAAAAATATATATCACAATATCTAAACCTTTTTCCTTTGGCAAATGGAAGAGTCTTTATCAGTATTATGCAAATGTATGTAGTGTTTTTAGGCTAAAGTACCTGTAGACTCATCAGCAGCAAGGATGCCTTTGCCAGGGGCCACAATCCTTTGAGCAATATCGCTCAGCTCCTTCTTCTGCTCTGGAGTGAGGAATGGGTAAGCGTGAGGCATCTTGACTCTAAATGGAGAAATGGGAGGAAAACACAATTACATAATCTCTCAGATTCAAAAAGTCGAATAACATTAAACCACGTACAAACCACAACATTATAAAATAAATAACAGCTAATCACGTGACTGGTTAAATAAACACCAAGGAGGCTTGGCAAGGATTCAGATAAGGGTGTGTACTCTAAAACTGAGCTGAAAACTGTGATTTTTCCTTCGAATAACATCATCTGGTCATCGAGCTAGTGATGCAACGTGTCCTTGAAGCGCAAACGCGAATGACCTCCTCAGGCTCACCGACTGATAAACGGAAAAACGACGAGCAAACGACTACTTATACTTGCTTTAGCTAATACTCCAGAGATGTTGTTTATTAAAGAAACACTTACCAGTTAAAAATAAAATACGACACTGCGATGGATTCCGGAAAACACTCACGGATCAGCCTCGACCACGTTAATAAGTTGCAGTAAAGGAAGGAAATCATCAAGCATTTTTACACAAGAGAACAGTTTGACCAATCAGAACAAGAGGCACGTTTTGCTGGGCAGCGGGATTGGTTGCTGTGCTCAGGAAGGCGGGTATAAGGAGACGTAATAAAAAAGGGAGTGGCTTGATTACAATGTGAGGCGGGGCGTGTGTACTTGATACGTGACAAAATTCACTTGCTGGAAACAGAGGATGTTGCGTGGATGGAAATCAATTCGCTTGACCTTGGCTGGCATCATGAGTGTGCAGTTACTCAGTCATGTGGCGTATTTTAGGAATGATGAAGGAATGAATGAAGAAAGAATGAATGCTGATAACATTGTTCGCCAGTCAATTGGACACTGAAGAGCAGCTCCACAAGAGGCCTCTTCACATTCCAGTAACAAACTAACACCCCCACTCAAATTGCATTCAACCAAAGGCCAGATTAAATATAGACAATAATTTAATGGCTGAAAGCCACTGATCCAGCTGGGAAGGTTTTATTTGGGTAAGACAGTCTGAAAAGCCTTGAGATGTTAAATGTTCAATAAAGCTGGAATACATTATTAGTTCATGCTAAAATAACAGATTATCAGTGTTTTGGGTTATTCTGTATCTAAACATGATAATTAATAATAATTATAATGAATAAAACATGTAACAACAGCAAATAGATTATTTAAATGCATTTAAATAATAAATATTCATATACATATTTTGTAAAAGCACAGAACAGGATGCTTTTATTAGTTTAAAGAATACATTCATTGGCATATTTTATTGTAGTATTTGATTAACATTTTAGTTTTTAATGAATAATACTATTTCTATTAATAAAAATACATGAAATTATGGAACAGCAGTGTGTAAGGAAATGCAAAAATTAAATATATATATATATATATATATTACACACACATTACTACATTTTTAAATAATAGAAATTATAACATTAATAATAATAATAAATGATAGATGGTGTTGCATTATTATTATTGCTATCACAAATATTTTAGGTTTAAAATGACATTATTACAATCATTATTATTCTTTCTTTTAATATTTTGAAACGAGCAATGTACGTCAAACTCATGCAACAGTGAAGCAAATGCATTAGAAATAAAAGCAAATGCAAAACAAAGACATCAGAACATAGTCAGTACAGCAATAACAATACAGTGCTCAAGATTTACACTTAATAAATCCTCCAAAAATAACAGAAATCATGTTTTGTTTTTTTGTTTTTTACCGTGTAGCTGGATGAGTGAGCAAGAGATACTCCCCGAATGGAGGCAGAGGAGGTCTGGACCGTCTGTGACACCCGTCTTCTGCCAGGTGACCTGTATTTATTCAGCTGCCATGACCTTTGACATTACGTGGGTTTGGCTAATCTTAGCAGCGGGCAAACCCACGATGCAATCTGAGAAGGGCGACGGGACATTCATGTACACTGGCATTCAGCAAAGAAAGGTTAAAGAGAAAGGCACTCAGCGGCATACACTAGGCACATGATTATTCATGCTGCTACATGCACAAACTGCATCATGCATGTATATTATTTCCAATGAAGCAATAATGGCCTTCAGGGGTCTAGAAATAAAGGCAATGTTCTGAATAATATGCTTTTTGTCTTTTTATCACTTCATACACTCTCCATATGAACATCCTCAGCCCATGAGATTACGGTCATCAGAAAAGAGATCAACTGTCATGAGATCTCCTGTCATGACCTTTCATCTCTCAAATGTCTGCTATACATAATCAGCAAGAGCTCATGAAGACACAGAGGACATAAAACAGGGTACATAAAGGAATGAGGGAAATTCAATACCTTGTATGACCTTTTTTTAAGTCTCTTTCTATACATTTTAAGAGTTCAAGGACATTTTAGGTTTTAACTGGTACTACTGGCAATGTTTTTAATTTGTATTATATTTACTAAACACTTATTGTAAGAAATTAATCCTCAACTAAATCAGTCATCATATATTGAATACAAAGCGCCAATAACAGTAGGGATAACAGTGTTGCCTTGGTTACTGCAGTAAACAAAGCAGCGTGAGGTCAAATCAAGTAGGATTTTAATTATCGTTTATTTCATGAACTACACAGCACTCCAATATTCAGATTTAATACAGGCTTTAACATATTCAATTCAATTCTTCTTTATTTCTGAAGCACTTTTAAAATGTAGATTATAAAAGCAGCTTAACATAGAAGTTCTAGTTAATTGCAATTGAAACTGTGTCAGTCCAGTTTTCAGAGTTAAAGTTCACTTTAATTCAGTGTGGTTTAAGTTTCACTGCTGAAAGTCCAAACACTGAAGAGCAAATCCATCAAAGCACAGCTCCCAAACAGCTATACATTTTAAAATTAAAAAAATTATGAAATTTAATAGCATGTAAAATAGCATTTAAGATTTTTCAATACTTTTTAAGGGCCATACATTTCTCTAAATTGATTGATCAATTTGTAGTACTTTTGCAGACCTCTGTGGACACCGAGTAGAAGGCCTGTCTTAAGAAGTGTAGAAACAGCAGATTAGTTGAATATTTTTGCAATGTTTTATACTTGTAACCCTGGATTATAAAATCAATCATGTGTCAAGTTTTGTTTAAAATTGATATTTATATAGCATCAGAAAGTTGAATAGGTAAGCGTCAAATATTTATTCAAATACAATTTGAAAATCTAAAATCAGAGTAAAAAAAAACGAAATATCAAGAAAATCACCCTTAAAGATGTCTAAATGTAGAGCTTAGCAATGCATATTGCTAATAAAAATAAAAATAGTTTTAGTTAATTATTAATATAGTTAAATTTTTTACAAAATATGACATATATACTTGATCATTTTTTTACAATGTATTTTGGTTATTGGCAAAAATATACTTGGTTTTGTGCTCAAGGGTCACATATTGTTAAGATATTCTGGTGTACACAGTCCTCAAGATACACTACCGGTCAGAAGTTTTTTTTTTTTTTTTTTTCTCCATGTGTGCGTTTTTTTTTTTTTTTTTTTTTTTTTTTAAGAAAATTATTCTGTTTATCAAGGTGGCATTTATTAAATCTAAAAAAAAAAAAAAGTTAAATTGTTGAATATTTATTACAATTTTAAATAACTGCTCTCTTACTGCATGTAGTTTTATATGAAGTTATTACTTCGGTAATTATTGCTTTTATTACTATCACCATTAATAAGGATATTATTAATAACAGTAGCAATAATAATAATATTAATAATTATTATTAAAGTGATTTCTGAAGGATTTTGTGACTGAAGACTGGATTAATGAAGCTGAAAATTCATCATTAAAATCACTGGAATAAATGATTAAATTAAATAATAAACTACTTTTGAACAGTTGTTTTATAGTGCAATAACATTTTACTATTTGTACTGTATTTCTGATTAAATAAATGCAGCCTTAGTGAGCAGGAGAAGCTTATTTTAAACATTTTAAAATCCTACTGACCCCAACTTTTTGACCAGTAGTGTACATGGAAAATAATGTCAGACATGTTTTATAAGTAAATCCTGCAACACTTGTTTTTGTACTAAACTTGTACACTTGTACTTTTACTAAAATAACTTTTTGTAGTCCTTTTAAATTTAACTTAATTCTTTGAATAGTTTAATTCCTCCTTTACAAGGGCTGGCTTTGCTTATAAAATAGCATGTTTCATGCAGTAAAACAAAGAGAAATCAGGGCTAAATTGTTATATAAATAAATGAAAAGAAATATGAAGGAAATCTAAAATAAAATAAATTCATCATACACTCAGTAATCAATATACAATAATAACAATACTTTAAACAAATTCATTTTTGCAGGAAATCTTTAATTTTAAATCTACACATTTACAAAAATAACATATTTCTATATAAAAAAAATTCATACAAAAAAGGACTATGGTGACTGCAACACAGAAAGATTATGTAAATCACAGTAAACTGGCTGTTGGCATTAAAATATGGCCTCATCCATAACAGTACATGACATAAAACATTATTATAAACATATTGTTAGATCATATTTCATATATAACAATCAAAATGATGGCCTGTCAATAATATACACTTTCATCATTACACTAGATACCACAAAAACAAGTTATGACAAGGGTTATTTAGTGAATCAAAGTGGAACAATGCGTGTAAACTACTGATGGTTCATGTTCAATTGAAAGTAAAATGTAGTCATTTAGAGCATTTAGTGGCATAAAATCACAAGAAAGGCACCAGACATGTTCAGATTCCATTTCAGACAAAACAATACTAAAGTTTTAGCTATAGAAGAGTAAAACAAATTAAATCTGTATTTGGCAAAATGAAAAAAAAAAAAATGTTTCAATCTGATAAATGCTAAAAAATGACAAAATATAAATGCTCTAAATGACTTATTAATTTCAATTCCTATAAAATGTTCGAACAAATATTAGCATACCAATTTTCAAATGCTCTAATTTTTCCATATATGACAAAAATAATTATTGATTTCTGACTAAGACTATATAAAATACATAAATGAAAACATTTGTAAACAAACCTTTGTGCTGAAAAGTAAAAATCTGTTTTAAAAGTTCATGGCACTGAAAGCCATACACAGTATAAAAGAGATTAATTGACTTTACTTTTAAAAAGGGTGTAAATCCATTGCATTAAAAATATTACTTAGTAAAATAGACGGCTGTATTATTGTATATGATGACATGAGACACCAATACCACTGTTTTGTCATTGCAAATCTTTAAATAAGTTAAGTGAACATAACAGCTTTAAGTTACAACAGAATTATTTACATTTTTACTTACAGGTAAAATCAACTTTAAGGCAATGGATTTACTAAATTTTTCAAGTAATCACTATCTTAGTGCTACAACTATATATAAAAACCCTTAACTTAGCGCTCTGCAATTCTGTAATGCTTGTGTACTTACAGCACTTTTTATGACAAAAATATGTCCAATAACTCTCATATGACACTTTAGCAAAAGAAAAACAGTCATAGAAAGTCATGTTTGAAATTTTCATGTCAGATTTTTCATTTCTTCAATTGCTCTGATTTGTTGGAGATGCTGTAATGTTTCCCAAATGATGCAAACGTTACAGAACGATGAGAGTTTTAGCGTAAAACATGCTCAAGTATCACATGGAGTTTGTAAGGCATCTTTTATAGTAAAGTGGGTGGGCATCTTCCTTCATCCCTCCACTTTTCTATTTAAACTTGATCTCGAAGCAGATGCAGTTGATGGAGTCGCACTCTGGCGGTTGACAAGTACAGGCGCAATCCATCATGGTACACTACATAAAAAATTAATAAATAATAATAAATGTAAGTAAATAAACAAAGGTCAACACAAACATGCTGAGGGTTATTGTCATGAGTGTACTGTAGTATAATTCACAAAGACGTATGGAAATGTTGTAGATCTACTGAGATTTTAATGAACACAGAAAAGCAAATGCACATGAATGTTAACACTGATGAACCAGAACCCAGAACCAAAGAAAGAAGTGTATGTAAAATATTCAACAAAACAAGAAAAAAGTGTGTTTGTTTGTTGATTCATTTATTTATTGCCATGGCTTATGGCTAGGGCCAAACAGAATCTGCAGACATTTTTTGCTATTTCTGCTAAGAATTTTGGTAAAAATCTGTAGATTTCTGCGGAATTTTTTTGAGATTGTTATGACTGAAACTTTAATATGTGAAATAAAAAATTATATATTTTTAAAGTTTTTTTAATATTTAAAATGCAAATCCAATTAGATTCACTTTATTTTTGGAAACAAAGCAAGTCTCTCAAAAAAAATCTCTACTAAGAGACACTGCATTGACACTGCATTGTACATAAATCAGATGAACATTTTCATATTAGTCAATAATTTTACTGTATTTAAAAACTGAATATAGATTTACACACATTTACTCAAGTAAATAAACAGGACTAATGATGGGCTGAAAATCTGCGGAGTTCTGCGCTTGAGATTCTGGGTGGGCCTATATGGCTACTTCATAGCCAGATTATAGCTAAAAATATGTTACAACAACTTCATAATTAAATAAGACATGATACAAGAAAATATATTAACAAAAACAAAACATTTTACAGAAACAGGCAAGTCATCATAACCTTGACAATTCTAAGGTTTATATTTGTTTTTGTTCATATTTTTGAGGATGTTAGAATTTGTGGACTGTTTGAGTTCTGAACCTTGAGTTCTGATATAATGTGTTGTCTTATATGTTTCTACAACACAATATGAATTTAGTAGTCAAAAAGATCAGTGACTACCCCAGATCAAATATTTTGTAGTTTAAATCCAAAATGAAGTTTAAAAGTTGATTTAATAATAATGTGACAAAAATAACAATAATAATGTGAATGGATAAATCATTTATAATAAATATTGCAATATTAATCTAAACTGTAATAATTTACAGAAAGTTTACAGAAAAAAACAATAGTATTTGGATGCTGCCTTTATGATGCAAGCTGAGATTGCATTACTCAGCGATGCAATGTCAGGCACAATGCACTCAAATGGAGCGAGTGACGTCACTGTGACGATTCTACTTGTTTTCATTTTCAGTCACAAGATGGCGCCAAACAGTTAGTATATACAGCTGAATTCAAAATGATTCTTTCTCCTGTGAAATTATTATTTTTTGATTTTCCAAGTGCTGTTTAACGAAAAATATTATTTTTTCCAATACATTTTTAAACATAATAATTTTATTAACTAATTTCTAACAACTTTTTTATTTTTATCATAGTGTCAGTGAAATTTTTTTTTTTTTTTTTGCAAAATATGAGTAGTATTCAGCTTGAAGTGCAAGTTTAAGTTTACCTAGGTTAATTAGGCAATTTCTGTTAATTAGGCAAGTTATTGGATAACAGTAAAGATTTCTTAAGGTGCTAATAATATTGACCTTTATGATTATTTTAAAAGATTTTAAAAGTGCCTTATTTCATCCAAACTAAAACAAATAAGACTTTCTTTAGACAAAAAAAAGGAAATACTGAGAAAAATTACTCAGTAAACATCTGAAAAAGAATAAAAATATCCCAGGAGGGCTAATAATGTTTGTATAAAACTGTATATATGACTATATTAACAAACGATCAAGATGATTTAAAGTACCCGAATGAGCCTGAATGACCAATCAGAATCAAGTAAACTAACATGAAGTAATATTAGCAAACAATGCACAATTGTATGAGCTTCATTCTGTTGTTAAACACAAAAGAAGATACTTTGAAAAACGAAAAAATAAAAACACAATGGAGGTCAATGGCCAACACACTTCAATGTAACTTCTTTTGTGTTCAACAAAAGACAGAAACTCAAACAGGATCGAAACAAATGGAGGAGGAGTAAATGATGACGGAATTTATATTTCTGGTTGAATGATCCCTTTAAGCAATTCAGATCTTTCTTAGCTTTTAAAAAATATCTTATAATTTCTGAGAATTTGTGTCAGGTGGTAAATGTGCGAGGAACAATAATCACACAGTGTGTAATGCAAGAAATAGCTCATGTGGGACTTACATTAGGAGAAGGACAGGAGTTGTCTAGACAGGATCTCAGAGATGGAGGACGACAGTCACATGACTGTGCACACACTAAACAGTACTCGCACGGAGAGAAACCCACACAGCAGTCTGAACACCGAGGATCACATTTAGCCTGCAATTGGAGAGAGTCCTTACATAACAGCAAAATCTGACAGTGAAAGTCAAACTGCCTTTCAGAATAATGCAGCTGTGAAACATGTATACTTGAATGAGCCTTATAAATATAGTAACCTAGGGCAGCACAATATAACAAAATTATTGTTATCGCAATAATAGTACATGCAGCATCCATATCACAGAGGACAGTGCAATAAGTTAACTTAACTTTATGTGTGTGTGCTACATGCATTTATTTATTCAAATCTGACCAATCACATGGGGCCTTTACTATCGGTATCCCCACTACTTTAGTAGGAGGTATAGAGCTGAAAATAAACACTTATGCTAGTGACAAGAGATGAAAATGACTACAGCCTATAGGATTCAGAATTTTCTCTAAGGTTTTCTGTTATTTGTGTTGTTTTAGTTTATTTAGATTTAATTAGCACAGAAAAAAATTATTACCTATTACCGATCTATTATTGATTATTAAAATATCTATTATTAAATATCTATTTTATTTTAGTATGATCATAACACATAGATTTATGTATATAAAAATGTATTGCTGATAAAAGAGTGTTTTAAAGTATCATAAGAAATTTCATTATCACAACACTCAACAATATTGCATATTTTCTTAGTATTGTGCAGCTAATATACATTACACCTACAACCCAAATTCTGAAAAAGTCAGGATGTTTTTGTAAAATGCAATAATATTTTCATTTAATGCAATTATTACAATACAAAAAAAAAATCAATGGTAAAAACACACTCTAAAATAAAGCTGAGACAGAACAGAAGCATGTTTAAATGCCTTTGTGTCAATGGTTCTGGTCTGCTCAGAGATTGAGACAGAAATTTCTTTGGATTGCCTGAATATTTTCACATTATTATTTATGAGTAGTTGGGGAATGACATAATTATTTTCTTCTTTTATACCCACACATGTATTACCAGTTCAAAAATAAGCCATAAATAAATAAATAGATAATTAAATAAATATGAACAATTACATGAAGGATTCAACATGAGAACATTGTATCAAATCACCATAATATTAAATTACATTTTGTATTCAATCAAATCAAAATCAAATGCATTGTGAATCTTACAAAACAGATTAGTTTGAATATTCTATAATCTTTTTATTTGCCGTCCCAACGTTTATGTTGCAGCCATCACCATGTTTACATTTACAAAATGCATTTAGCAAAATTGTAAGTGTATTTGTAAATTAGTACTTTTATCAATTTCATAAAAATTTTTTAAGTAAAAGAACATGAATGAATTACAGAATTCTTGCATTTTACAAAAAGCCCAGATTTCCTTTCATTTTTGGAATTGTGGAGAATCCAGGTTGTATTCGAATGGGCCTTTATATAGTGTATAACAACAACTTTATTTGTTTACTCAGTTTGGCTCACAGAATGGTTTTATACAGCTTCTTTAGAAAGAAGAAGTTAAAATAATGAAATACCTTGAGGCAGTGATGACACCACAGCACGACTGCAAGAAAAACCATATAGAGTCCAACCGAAATCATGATGATGGCAGGCAGCGGGATGGGGAGATCCCACACTGGAACAGCCTGACAACACAAACACAGGTTGAAACAGTACCAAAAATGTGGACCTGAGTATTGCTCCACTAAATAAGACTGCATTACATGTAAAAGCACTGGTGTCAAACAGTTCTTCGAATCACAAAGCACTCTTCTCAAAAAGTACCTGAGGATAGTTTAAAGTTACTCTGGAAATTTGTTTGAAACATTTGAAGACATAAAAAAAAATTGGTATCTTAAAACAATGCTAACAATGGGCCTTTTGAAACTTTTCCCCAAATTATCAGTTTATAAATGAATCTAAACTTATTCGTGGCATAATAATGATCAAATTGAATCTCCAAAATGTTTTTTAGTGCAATTTGAGGGTTTATATTGGTCAAATATCAGATATCTTTACAATTTCAATCTTTTCAATTTCTCCATCTAAATGAGGACACGTGTGAACTTATTGTTTTTGGTAAAAAAAGGGTCGGATTCTAATAAATGCTTTTTGGAAAAATACGTTCCTCTGTAAAAAGTCTTGGTGCTATTTTTGACTCTGAGATAAAATTTGATCGCCAAATTAATGCGGTTGTCATTTTCAGCGACTTGGAGAAGGTTGCCTTCATCTCTTCTCGTCTTGATTCTTGTAACGCATTGTATCTGGGTGTAAATCAGGCATCTCTCTCTCTCATCTGCAGCTGGTCCCGAACTCAGCTGCCAGGCTTTTAACTGGCACAAAAAAGAGAGCAAATCATACCTGCACTGGTTTTCCTACACTGGTGCCCAATCCAGGGTAGAAATCAGTACAAAATATCGTTATACGTTTTAAAAGCCTTCAATGACCTGGCCCCTGAGAATATTTCCGAGCTTATTAACATACATCAACCCGTGAGATCTCTTTGCTCTAAGGATCGACTCTATTTGACAGTTCCACGATCATGCATGAAATGTCGAGGCGATAGAGCTTTTCAGTAGCAGCTCCAAGACTGTGGAATGATCTTCAACTCTTCTTAAGAACATCTCCTACTTTTGAGTCTTTTCAGGTCACTAAAAACACACTTATTTTCTTTAGCTTTTAATCATGTCTTGTGAGTTTATGTATTTTGGCTCCTTGTATGTTTGCATGTATTATGTGTTTTATGTACAGCACTTTGGTCCCCATTGTAATTGGTTGAAAGTGCTCTAGAAATAAATTGACTTGAGTTGAGTTAAGTTTACTGGCTACCAAAATAATGAAGATTTTCAGACATCTGAAGGTGTTCACAGTTAAAAAATGTAGCAACGCATTTAAAATTACAGACATAAAAATTTAATAAAAAAAAAAAAAACAGATAAAACTAACTGTTGGGTTAGAAATCATATTTTTAAATAACTTGTAATTTAATTTGATTGGGTTATGGGACATCTGCCTTTAATTGCAGGCCCATAGATGAAAGGTGGTTATTTTTTCACAGACAAATGTTTATTTTTCAAATACAATTTTTTACATGTGGCGACGCAGTGGCGCAGTAGGTAGCACGTTCGCCTCACAGCAAGAAGGTTGCTGGGTCGCTGGTTCGATCCTCGGCTTAGTTGGCGTTTCTGTGTGGAGTTTGCATGTTCTCCCTGCGTTCGCGTGGGTTTCCTCCGGGTGCTCTACCGTCCAAAGACATGTGGTATAGGTGAATTGGGTAGGCTAAATTGTCCGTAGTGTGTGTGTGTGTGTGTATGTTTCCCAGAGATGGGTTTTGGCTGGAAGGGCATCCGCTGCGTAAAAACTTGCTGGATAAGTTGGTGGTTCATTCCGCTGTGGCGCCCCCGGATTAATAAAGGGACTAAGCCGACAGGAAAATGATTGAATGAATATTTTTACATCATATACCATTAGAAAAATGTTTCAAATTAAAAAGTGGGACCTACTATCATTTATTAAGCAAATAACAAACTGACCAGCACATTCAACTGTCGTCAGTCAGAATTTGGCCATTCGAATAATTAAAATTTAAAACATAACAACAACAACAATCACAATCTTTCTAGCCTCTCTTGTAAAAGTGCTTCACACATTTTTTTAATTGGTCATGTTTTCTTTCAAGTAAAAGGTCCAAGTTCAACTTGTCAAATGTTTTCTCTATTTAAAAACAATATAGCGAAAGAATACTTCACAAATGTCAGGTGTTTTCTTGCACAGCTGGATGTTGAACTCATGAAAAATAATTGTTTGCATTGGCCAAAACTGATTACCTAAAGTCACACCAGGAATCTGCTTGGTCTTCAAGCCTTTTCAATGTGTTATTTTTACTATTTATGCATAGCAGTCAATATAGGACAATGAGCTCATGAATGGGATAAACTCTGGACCCTGTCAGTAAGGGGTGGGTCTTTCTGAACTCCCCTGGCTACAGGCCTGAATTATAAATGAACTACAGTGAGTTTTCAGCCTGGACACGTTTATTGAATTGGCTAACAAAATTAGAAATGTAGGTTCCTAATGTACATGTTTATAAAACTGTTCCTCACTGGACTTGAACCCTTTTGTGGTCAACTCCTCTCTGCGTCTCAAGTCCACTAACATACATGGTTGGTGAGTTAACTGGACAAACTAATAACAGCGGGAAAGCCGTCCACATGGAGGTAAGCGGTCAGCTGGTAACATAAGCTTAAAAAGGAACTGTCTCATATCGCCCTGTATCTTTCGCTTTAAAGATGAGATGCAATTTTCAGATTGAGTCTATGCTGTAAAGTTAACTTATGTCATAGATATTATAATAGAATGTATATAACAGCTAAGTATAAAAACAGAAAAGCATTTGTGCTGCCCATTACATTAACGTTACTAACCACTGTTTAAACTTAAGTGAAGTTACATGTCTGAGGTCATAACTTCTTTAATTCTACGTTACTAGAGCAAAAAAAGTAGTCAGTAACGTTATGCCAACTTTTACAGTCATTTTAAACATGAATATCCGTGTTTCTAGTTAAGCACATAATCTCTGATAGGTAAACAAATATAATGTGTGTACATCCCACAACGCAGATGTGCCGAGTAACGTTATACGCAGAATAACGTTCATTTACACACATGTTGATGTTCAAAATGTTGCAGTTTAGACATGTAACAAACACAAAGCAGTCGTACATACCATTATGACGTCGCTGCATCCCCCGTGCAGATGACTTGGTTTTCAATTATCAGGAGATTTCTTTACTTTGGTTAACCCTGATATTTACTCTGGTGAGCACATTACTTTTGGTGAGACTGGCCAAACGTTGTCGTAGCAACAAAGATATGACTTGACTTCCTGTGTTTGTACGGCGACTTGGAAGGAACAAACTCGTAGTGGCAAATTAGGTATTCGTATTCTCAGTAGACGTAAGTTAAAGGATGAACATGGATGCATTGAAATACATTTTATGCAATTCTTAATATTACATATAGTATTTTTTTACACAAAGCGATTAATTGTTGTAAATAAAATTCAAACTAAAATAAATTGAAGCTAGGGTGTAACGGTGGCGCAGTAGGTAGCATGATCGCCTCACAGCAGGTCGCTGGTTCGATTTTCGCCTGGGTCAGTTGGCATTTCTGTGTGGAGTTTCCTCCGCGTACACCGGTTTTCCCCACAGTCTAAAGACATGTGCTTTTGACTTTATTCTTCAATGCAGAAGTGCACCTTTTTTGCGATTGTTTTAGACTTCTGATTCAGTTGCCTATGGGAGAAATTATAGGAACAATAAACAGCTGAAATCGCCAAAAACTTGCTCTACAGACAAGTGTTTGCATGACTATGCACACAAAATAGAATAATATAATAAAATATAAGTTTGCACAAAGCAGCAAAAGGAGCTGTTTTTAATGTCTGAGAATGAATGGAAGTGAATCTGGAAGTTTTCAGCCAAAATGATTCAAATGGCTGCGCCCGTTTGTTCAATGAGAATAATGAGAGTGTGTGGATGTTTCCCAGTGATGGGTTGCAGCTGGAGGGCACCCGCTGTGTAAAACATATGCAGGATAAGTTGGGGGTTCATTCCGCTGTGGCAACCCGGATTAATAAAGGGACTAAGCTGAAAAGAAAATGAATGAATAAATGAATGAAAATTTAAAAATAGGTGACAGTGGTTCATTGGTTAGCACTGTCGCCTAACAGGAAGAAGATGGCTGGTTCGAGGATTTAATGCAAGAATGGGTGGTAAGAAAATTCGGGACCATACAGATTAGATGAAACAATGCAAATCACTTCAGTCTTACATCAAGGAAGTGTAAATAAAAAATGTTGGAAAGTCACAAACACACCCAAAACAAAACTGATGGCTAGGAATGCGGTAAACATATCAGTGACTTAATCAACTAAATTAAAAAAATGTCCTGTCAGAGCAGACAATGGGATTCAGTGGTATATAGAATTCATGTTAAACCAGCTTAACTTGTATAATGTCAACTTAATGTGCTGGCAGAGAGTGTGATTGTAAAGCAACTCAAGGTCACTTGAATTACTTCACTGCAGTGTTGTCCGTCCATAACCAAAGATGAGTATACCTTTAAAGGATTTGAAACACTAATTAATTAAAAAGGACACCTATTATGCTTCTTTATAGAATATATCAAATAAGTCTAAGTGTGCCCAGAATGTGTCTGTGAAGTTTCAGCTCAAAACAACCATCAGATTATTTATTATAGGCCTACCCTGCTGGAAATTTTAGGGTCAGTGCTGTTTTGCGCCTGTGGCTTTAAATGCAAATGAGCTAGTTTGTTTTCTTAGCATTTCCAATGTCAGGAGACCCAGGGCCTACTCACACTATGCTTTCTGAACTGTGCCCTGGCCCGTTTCCCGGATCGTTTGAGAAGTGTGAGTGCGCTGAACTGGGCTCAAGCACGGTTCACTTGGCCGGCCCTGGCCCAGTTGGAAGAGGTGGGCCTGAGCGCGGTTCACTTGGGCTTTGGTGCGGTACGCTTGTAGTGTGAGTGCAAAGCGCCCCAAAGCCCGAAACTGAAAGCGAGACGTGACATTTAAGGGACTATTTCATATGAATTTATTAATCAATACTGTTCAATGAATGCAAACTGCCGTAGTTCATTAAAGGCGCAAACTCCTCACTGCACGACAGCTGCGCGCCTTCAGCAGACCTCCTCATTCTTGCTGTAAGAGGGCTTTATGATTGTTTATGAGCGTTAAAAGTGGCGGATCTGTTCGGTGAAATATCTGACTGCGTGTCACTGCATCCCTAAGCACTGTTTGGGGAAATATTTGACTGCATGTCACTGCATATCAAACCGACTGAAATGAAATAACTAGAGAAATCTCCACTGTGCTGAGTGAGAGCACTTCTCACTGAACAGCGCAGCATCGATGACGTAAGCGTGCCCAGGCCTGATTGTATTGTGAGTGGGGGCCGTCAGGGCAGACGGGAGAGGGGACAAGTGTGCTTTGGCCCGGTTTGAGGCAACCTAGTGTGGGTACGGCCCCAGCCTCAGATGTCAGGATAAGCACAGCACAATGACAGTCAGATACTGATGAAGCCGACACCCAGTCACAAATACAAACATTTAAACTGAACCAGGATGTTTCCAAATGTTTTTTTTTCTGAAATGATGAATGAATCACACAAAACGGTGTACAAAGTTCAATAAATTCATATCCAGCATATGTTTTTAAGAGGATGCCCTTCCAGCTGCAAGCCAGTAGGCCTACTGGGAAATACCTATACAACTCTCACATGAACACACATACACTACGGCTTGTTTAGCTTATTCAATTATACAGCATGCATTTGGCCTGTGGGGGAAGCCGGAGCACAAACATAGGGAGAACACGCAAACTCCACATAGAAATGCCAACTGACCCAGCCAGGGCTCGAATCAGCAAACTTCTTGCTGTGAAACAATTGTGCTACCCACTGCGCCACCGTGCTGCCCCTTATACTTCTTTTTTTTAAGAGTATACATCTTTGTGGTATAGGTTTTGCCTGATTTATATCAGATAAATATGCATTTTCACATGTTTCTGTCTATGGTGTTATTGTGCCTTGACACTTTCTGTTTCCAGCCACATGTTGTTCCTTCCAAATATGTATATAATTATTGGTTATTATTTTGAAGCATGCAAAGCGGAAATATTTTACTCAGGAATAAACATGATTGGTTTGAAGTTGTCAGTTTTCATCACCGTCAAGTCTGAATTGAATCATCCTTAACATTTTGTTATGGCTGAATGTGCTTTACATCAAACTGGTTTGATGTACGCAGTGTAGTTTTCTACTGAAAAGTAATGCACTAATTCATTTATCATATATATATATATATATATATATATTTTTTTTTTTTTTCTTTGTCTATTCACTTTATTCTCTTAGAGGAAAAGACTAGTTTAATGTTGGAAACATGAGTATGAACAGATGAACAAAGTCAAAACAAATGTTATTTTTTCTGGATATTTGTCTACAGCCAGACACTTACACAAATCCCTGACCTGCCTTATATGCTTAGATTCAGTGAAGAAATTTAAACTGTTCAGATAAACAGTGATATTAAATAATTTTTTGTTGTTGTTTTCATCTCCACGGTCATTCAATTATGTTTGTTCATAATTAAAATGTTGCTATTTAATTATTACATCAGTGCTTAAGTTTCTTGGTAGTAGGGTTTAAAAAAAAATCACTGCGTAATTCACATGGTTCTTGTGCCATTACACTGTAAATCTCTTTTTGGCTTCAACTATTCCAATTTATTCAAGTGTATTTTGTATAATATAGTATACTATCCTTAATGTCTTTAAGTAACATGGCATAAAAGATATATTTGATGATCTTATTGGGACTGTTGTTCCATCTCATGTGGGTCAAAAACGACACATTTTAATTTCAATAAAACGTGTGTGCTATATTTTAGATCCATAATATTTTACTTTAAGAGTTCACACTCAGCCGATGATTGATTATAAAGCTTACTTGGCATGCTGTCCTGGGAGAGAGCCCTGAGCTCAAAAGATCCTCAAACCCGGGGCTCCCTCACGTTGCAAGGCATAAAGGGGGTTAGATCTCGAGAACTTCCCTGCTGTAGTAGCAAATGAACAGATAGTGATTGCTCTTAAAAGCCACTTACTAAGTGCATGTCTATGGTGCTGATTTGGATTAGTCAATTTACTTTATTTGTTTCTGGATGGTGGGAGAAAACTGGGGGACTCGGGAGAAACTTACACAAGCACAAGGAAAACGTGCAAAATCTGCACAAAAACGTCAGCTGATTTAACGTTCTTTGCTGTGAGGCAACTGTGCTAACCACTGAGCCACCGTGCCACCCATCTAGGAAAGGAGGATTAGTAGGGGTGGAAGGGGGAATTCTTCAAAACAAGATGACTGTAGTATGAATCCTAGGGCATTTATAGTGGCTTAGGAGTTGTTTGATTGGTGAATGATAAATTGGGTAATGCGGGGCCAGCCGCAAGCAATCATAAACATGTGATCCTCTAGAAATTTGTTTAAAAATAAACTTCACTTAACATGTTTATCATTATCTTAAGGTATTTTGTAACACTTAATTGTTTTATACTGTAGTTATAATCCAATTATGACTTGTTTTTTATTTTATAATACATATACAATGGAAACGGCATCAGATTGCTTTGAAGAAAAACACACTTGGCTGTTTATTGCTTACTGCTTATTGTAAGTCGAAGTGAAATCAACTAATAAATAAAGGTATACAATACATTTTAAATGGAAAGTTTTAAATGTGGCATATTTTTTTTCAAATTAGTTTTTTTTGCTAAAATCAAAGCCACAATTTTCTATAAAAAAAAATAAAGTTTCCAACTTTAAGTTGTATATTGTTGGAGCCCATTTAAATATCTAGTTGTTTCTTAAGTAGCGTGACAGTGTTCAAGATTTTTGTTTGTGTTCAGGTAACCCCCCCAGTCTTACGCCATCCAACCCGCTCCGAGCTGGAATCGAACCAGCGACCTCCCACATGGGAGTCGGTTGCTCTAACAAGGAAGCTAAAGACCAATGCCTCTAGCATCTGTCGCTATAGAACCTTTAGAGGTCAGAGGAGTGAGGTTTACCTGCAAGGCACTTACTAGCTGGCCTCCGTTACATTCACATACTGTAACACGTCAAAACATTTTCCACAGTAACCACCTGTGGTCATTAAAAATCCCATGGCACTTCTCGTAAAGAGTAGGGGTGCAACCCTAGTCTCATGGCCAAAGTCTCTCAATCGGTCCTTGCGATCATGGCCTCCCAATCTTCCCCATCCATGGAATTGGCTGTATCACTGTCTCTCCACCAATACCATGTGTGGTGAGCACACTGGCGCTGTTTTCCTGGGGCTGCTGTTGCATCATCCAAGTGGATTCTGTACACTGGTGGTGGTGTGGAGAGACCCCCTTCATGATTGTGAAGCGATTTGGGTGTATGGTCATGCACAATATATGCACAATATAAATATACATTGCATTACATTACATAATATTGTTGTTTTAATATTTAATATTGTGGTTTTAAAACATATTTCACGACTTTCCTGTATTGTAGAGGAAAACAAGAAATATTTGGAAAGAGAACACTAATCAAAGTGAAAAACTTGTCAGATTCCACCAAGTCATTTAGGCTATGTTAATCTGCCCCACTGTATTATTATGAATGATCTGAGCAGCCAGTAACCAAACTTTCTAGTTTTCTGCTGATTCTAAAGTTGAAACCCTCTGGCAACAGGACCATGCAAGTCATAACAATCTTGCCATTTAGGAGAACTGGAAAATTCTACAATCATTGCTGTTCTCAAAATGTTTCATCACTGTATTTTTCACTGAACAAAGGGTTTTGTTGAAGTGCCACAGAAGATGACTTATTTCTGGAATGATAATGTGTTTTCCAAGTTAAATCTTCACTATATGTATGTGTGTCTGCGTATGTGTGTGTGTGTGTGCAAACCCAGTAAATAAATATTTGTATTAAAGAATATGTAAGAAATATATTGATAAAATATATGTAAAAGTATATTTGATTTTTGACAGATTTTCACAGATTTTTTTACAGGCATACATTTATTTAAATTGTAATTTTGGCATAAACACAGAAAGTAGCGTTCAAACATGTGAAGTGAGAAACAATAATATATTTAAACAACAACAAAAAAAAAAAACATATTTCATATTCAACAATCATATCTGTTTTATTAGGATTTTACAGTGTTAAGGTTCCATTAATTACTTCATTTAGGTCGACATTTAGGTTTGACAGTTACAGTATAGTTCTAATGCAAAAGAAAACAGCCTTAACGTCCCTATAATGCACTGCATATTGTATTCATTAAGCTGATGCCAGTGTTGTGTCAGATTTTTTCTGCCCCACATTCAAAAAGTAGATGACGGTATATGCAACCTATCAGATTATACTACAAGTGCAACTTTTTTTGGAGTAGTGTGACCTACCCCAATCCCACCTTAACCTCCAAACCATTCATATACAGTGTTGGTAGCATAATCTGACAGGTAGGATAAAATGTCAGTACACCCTATTTCAGAACATGGCCTGCAGGACTGCAGGGAGAGACAGTAGAATGGTGCAGGTGAGAGAGAGGGGTGAGAATGACTCTGCCCCACCGAAGATTACCGGGACATCGTTGAGAGTGTTGATGATGAAGGTGGTGAAGGGAACCGTACTCATGAAGGCTGTGTTATTTGAGTTCTGTGGGTTCATCTCAATGCCAGGGGGAACGGACAAGATGCCAGCCTGAATCCACATGTAGCCATTATTGCACAACAAGGGACTGCCGTTCTGAATGAGAAAGAAGGAATGTTTAAAAACTTCATAACAACCATTCAAACTTCTTTACACTTGAAATTAGATTGTAGGTTTTCTCAATCCGAACACAAGTGGCTGACACTAATACAGATGCAATTGTTCTGTTTAGATGTGTGTGTAAATTTTGAGTTCATTCACTTTTAACCACTTCCAGAGGTAGTCGAAAGCACATTAGACTGGATTACTTTTACAGTGTCATCTGATTTGTTCAAACAGACACTAAATACCACCTTCTCTCTTTCTCTCAACTTTCCTACAGCGCTTGGTGTAGTAATGTTGCTCTTAGAGCAGAAACATAAACTATTGCTGTTTATATAGTTTAAATTCAGGCTTATTCTGATTATGTTCCTCTATACACATTTCTGGAGAGAGCGAAATATGTCCCAGGAGTTATGTTTTCGCCAATCCAACCAGGCCGCTGTGTACGCTTTTTCAGATCTCAATTTTCTCTCGTGAGTGCCATTCGCGCCAACTGTTCTTATTTACTTGTTTATTTTATTCTGCTTCTGTTTTTGTCTTACCCACTTACTGGAATCGTTCTTCACTGGATTCGAATACTGTCATCGATGTCAACTCTGCTTTGCATCTTAAGTTTGCCAACGAATGTGTAAAGCTAACTGGACAAACTGGTAACAGCGGGAAAGCCGTAGCGTTCGTTTTAAAGAAGAAATGCAGCTCTGGCTACATAATTCACAATCTCCAGAACCGTATATAGGGTTACATTTTCAGCATAAGCCTATGTTGAATAGTTTTGTCTCTTTTCACATTCACAGGAACATTTTATTATGTAGTCTGAATTTTATTTATTATTTTATTACATTGAAGGATTTTTTTCTACCATGGTAATGGTCTAAAGGTTTCTGCTTTCGGCCACACTTTATTTTGATGGTCCGTTTGTTGAGTTTAGGTTTCATTGCATCTACATGCCAACTAATGTTCAATAGATTATAAATAGACTGTTAGGTTGGGTTAGGGTTGGTGTCAGATGACATGTGCTTGCAAAGTTTCTTATAATCAGTTAAATGTCTGTTGAAGGAGCAGTATCAGCAGATATTAAGCAGACAGTTTACTATAAACTCAAATGGACCATCAAAATAAAGGGTTACTCTGCTTTCTAGTATCTTCTTTAGTGTGTAACAGAATAAAAAAATTCATTAAGCATTATTGAGGATGTGTAAATAGTGAGTGCATTTTCATTTTGGGATGAACTATGCTTTTGAGGGCCCTCAAGCTGGCATAAAAATAATGAGAGAACTGTTTTATGCAATTATTGTATTTATGAAATTATGCATCAATAATCAAATTATAGGATCATTAAAACCACCCAGATAGCAAAATTCATGTGGCTCAAATCCAGCCCACACCAAACACTTACATCTGGCCCCCACTTAGGCGGTACGCTCTTGTTTGCCAGATCTGGGCCACAATTAAGCCATAGCAAAACCACATATCCGTCAATGAACCAAAACTGACCCTATACTGGACCACAGTTTGCTGTTATTTTAGCCCAGATACGACGCACACTAGACACTTACATACGACCAGAGTTTACTGTGCCAAATATTTGCCAAAAGTGTCCCACATATGATTTAAGATAACTGGTCCAAATATGCCATATTTTCTTTGGGCCACTTTAGGCTCAAAGTCACATTAGACAGAGCTTACTGTGCCAAGTATTTGCCAAAAGAGGCCCTCATTTGTTTTAAGATAACTGGGCCACATTTGCCATATTTTCTTTGGGCCAATTGAGGCTCACAGTCACATTAGGCAGAGATTACTGTTCCAAATATTTGCTAAAAGTGGCCCACATTTGTTTTATAATAACTGGGCCACATTTGCACCTACACATGTGAGCCACTGTGCGTTTAGACCCAGATTACTCTTAAATGACTATGCCACATTTATGCCAAATGTATCCCACATTTGTCCTTTATCATTTGAGTCAAATTTACAAATTTACATGGGCCACATTAGGTTCACATTCAGATTACATTTAGCCTTAATTGCAAATCTTTGGGCACCTTTTGTCATTGTACAGGTGGGCCACTTCAGGCTCACATTCACTTTGTCTGGGCCGAAAGAAGACCACCAGTGCTGCATAACTGTCTAAAGTAGCCCACATTTGTATGCTATCTGGACAGTTCATAGAGTTTAGATTGAATCATTTTGCAGGCATTTTGTAAAATAATTTATGGTTTATTCAAGGTACACATGATCAAACCATTAATTGTTGCAATACTATTGACGCAATACCAAATTGTGCTATTCAGTGCATGATTGTTGACAAACTCAAACAACTAAAGAGGATTGTGCAGATACCTGTAGAACATTGACAGGCTCTGTGCAGACATCGGTGTGTCCGATGTCTGAAGGATCACAGTTTACAATGGTTGTCTGCAATTCCTGAAAAGATAGTCCAGCTGTAAACAAAAGAGAGAGAAACAAAAGGATCAGTCATGACATATTGCAGAATTTCCTGATGAGAAAGTAAGAATAAGTGATTACATAAACTCACATGAGTCGAATGAGCTCAAAATGGCTACTGCACACTGAGCACCAGGGCCAAAGCTTGAATAATACATATCCATGGGTAAATTGGCAATGGTATACATTGGAGTGTATAGCTGCACAAGTGCTACCCCATTGCCTGAAACGCTGTCAAAAAAAATGTTTGCTACATCAGATGATACAGATGAGCTGGAGCAGTCCCACCAATTGGCGAGACTTAGGGTCGCAGTCCATCCATTTACACCCGTAAATCTGAAGAAAGAGATATTAATATCAGTGCACAAGTCATCTATGTTTGCTCAGTAATTTCTTATGAGATAAAGTTTTCCTGGTTTGGTTACCCAGAAAAGCAGCTGGCAGAGGTCAAGATGAATTGGTCAGACACCAAAGTTCCTACACACTCTGGGCTACCGTTAAAAGATACAACAGCCATCCATGGATATACGCTGGCGGAGCCTCCACACAAGGTCGCTGTAGAGAAAGCACAGAGAGAAAGAGAAAATGTGAATGGAGGCTAAAGTGTCATTTCAATGATTACTTTTGATGTTGCTTTGTCAACATACGTTTTGTAGGACAGGTCTCACTGTCATCCTGAATTGGAGCATTGACATCAACAGGAATGAAACTAGCCCTGACATACTGAGAGATCCAGTTCTGGTACTGAGAAACTCTGGCGTACACACCAGGATAATTCGGGTCAGCACAACCTTTACCAAAACTCACAACACCAGCCTGGACCCATGTATTGAAGCTTTTGATGACCATTGGACCTCCGGAGTCACCCTTTACAGTGAGGGAGAAACAAAAAATTATATTTACACTACCGGTCAAAAGTTTGGGGTCAGTAGGATTTTTAATGTTTTAAAGTAAGTTTCTCCTGCTCACAAAGGCTGAATTTATTTAATCAAAAATACAGTACACACTGTAAAATTGTGAAATGTTATTGCAGTATAAAATAACAGTTCAAAAGTAGTTTATAATTTAATTTAATAATGTATTCCACTTATTAATTATTATTATTATTATTATTATTATTATTATTATTATCATCATCATCATCATCATCATCATCATCATCATCATCATCATCATTATTATTATTATTATTATTATTATTATTATTATTGTTGTTGTTGTTGTTATTATGAATGATATTAGTAATGAAAGCAGTAATGACTGGAGTATCAATTTCAATTGAAACTTTATTCAATAAGAAAGTAGTTATTTAAAATTTGAATAAATAATATTTTTTTTACAAATGTTGCCCAAATGAAAATAATAATTTTCTTTAGAATTGTAAATAAAATTCTATATATATATATATATATATATATAGAAATGAACATTGTTTATACCTGGCAGGAATCCTTTCCTCCTTGCATTAGTCCAGCGCACATCATGTTGTTTGTTATCGAGCTACCACCACCGTAAAGGCAGTTACACAGGTTGTTTCCAACAATAGGCACATTCACCTCCTGTAGGATTTGAGGTGAAGGAAGGGATACTGCGAAACAGATAATGAGAGAAATTCAGCTAAATAGAATAAAAAATGTATAAACATTATGAAAAAAGCAAGTGAAATGGGAATAAAATATACTAAACTGATAAAACTGTATATGTTTTTAAAATTTGGAAATTCTGAATTGTAGTTTGAGTAAAATGTCATCTTTGTTTTATCCTGTATTCAACTAATCAAATTTGATTTAAGAGTTCACACTTAGATAATGCTTAATGATATTAGCAGGTTTGGCATGCTGTCCCGGGAGAGAACCGTGAGCTTGGAGATAGATGAGCCCAAAGCTCCCACCTGGTCAATGAGAATTTAAAGCATACGAGATCAGGTAGTTCTCAAGAGCTCCCCCCGATTCGTTTGGCCTATTCATTGATTATTAAAAGACAGCTCTATAGGAATAGGCCACCAACCACACTGGTGTATACTCACTTAGAGAAGCTCAGTAATAATGTATTTGTGACTGTTACTATTATTTAATTTAATTGTGTCTCATGTCTTTGGACTGTGGGAAGAAACCTGAGTACCTAAGGGAAACCCACGTGAACACGGGGAGAACATGTAAGCACAGAAATGTCAACTGGCCCAGCTAGGACTTGAACCAGCGACCTTCTTGCTGTAAAGCAGTGCTAGCCTATGAGCCACTGAGCCGCCTAATCCTAGAAATGAGGCGGAGGTGGAAGGGGTGGATAGGGGTCCTTTCCAAACGAATATAGGGAGTAAAGTTAAGCTGGACTATTAAGTTAGATTTGGAATAATCCAATGGGCTAGCTAATGATTACTAAAAGGGACCAGCTGCAGTCAATCATATCACATGCCCCTCTCAAAATTAGTTTGTGAAACTTCACTTACAACATTGTCATTCAGAGTACCTTTTGCATAATATAACTAACTGTCAGTGTGTTTTATATTTAATTTTAGACAACATTACCAATGTTTTAACTTAAGAGTTAAGAAATCAATATTTGATTTTCAATTTTTAATCATGACAACCCCACACAAATGACAAAAGGAGCTGCCAGTTTTTTCCCCTGTTATTTTATGTGTCCTGTAGACCCAAGCATTAAAAAACATGTTGTTTCTTACCACCAGATTCAATGGTTCCCCAGCCTGTGATCCACATTGTGTCATTGTAGAATGTGCTTCCATCTGCTGCCAGACAGACGGGCTGGATGTAGTTAGAGAAGGTCACCGGTGAGGAGAGATGCAGCAGGGCCATGTCATTGTCATGGGTTGAGCCTTGGTATAATGGATGAACAATGACCTGAGAGACCGATTTGGACACTTCATTCGGATTGGGCAGATCTTGACTTTGCCGACCAAGATACACAGTGTAGTCTGAAGGATTAGGATTGCTGAAAGGAGAACACAATCATTATTTTAGAACCAAAACTAGTGATGCACTGATCTTAGCTTGGTCATGCCAATGAATTGGATTTAAGTTAATTGTACTTAAACTTAATTTAGATCGTATTGACCTTATTCTAAAATGCAGAAGTGTGCCTGTTTTCGCGATTGTCTTAGAACTTCCGATTCAGTCGTCTATGGGAGAAATGTCTAGGAATAATAAACGGCAGAAAACGGTCAAACTATTTGCTCTACAAACAAATGTTTGCATGACTATACAAACCAAGTAGAATAATATAACAAGGAAATATCAAATTGCAACATCAAGCAGCGTAATTAGCAGTTTTTAATGTCTAAAAATGAATGGAAGTGAATGAGACCGGAAGTCTCGAGCCAAAAAGATTCAAATGGCAGCGCCCGCTCGTCGGCGGAGAATAAGGTCAATAATTTCAAAATATAAAGTATGAACATAATGATTTACAAAATTATGCTACATAAAACAAAAGTGTACGAAATAACATTTAACATATGCATAATCTAGGGAATGATGCCTATTTACAGTACATACAGTACTCTCCTGTAAAAAAAAAAAAAAAATCAGCGAAAATTCTGAAACATAAAAATCCAAGTCATCTGGCCCTATCATACACCCGGCGCAATATGGCGCAAGGCGCGGCGCAATACTCTTTTGGTACTTTTAGCTCGGCGCAAGGGTCATTTTGAGGCATTGCGCCACGCTGTTTAAATAGCAAATGCATTTGCGCTCAAATGTGCGCCCATAGGCATTCTGGTCTAAAAAAGCAGGCGTGTTTTGGCGCGTTGCTATTTTGACAAACTGTAAATAGTCTGATCTTTAGACCAGAACAAAGTCAGTCTATTGTCTGGCGCAAAGTGCGGCTGGCTTACACACTACACACAAGATGTAGAGCAATACACAAATATCTTTACATATGAAAAATATATAATATCTTAAGGATATATATATATACATATATATATATATATATATATATATATATATATATATATATATATATATATATATATATATATATATAATAAGGATATATACAGGATATAAATATAAATGATTAAAATATTACAAAACATATTAATTTCTAGCCTACATGAAGATTTAAAAACCACTGCCTTACTTTCTTCATCTCGGGAGGCTTTTTCAGTTTATTCAATTTGCTTTTGTATAATGTTATTATTATTAGCAGTATTATTTATTATATCCATATTTATATTTGTTTTATTAAAAACAAGCTTAGATTTGTCCACCTGTCAAATTTTAGACCATATGGGGCATAGCAGGTGTATTTGGAAATAACTCAGTATTTTGACCACACTTGGTTATTATTGTTTATTTATTCGTTTGCTAGAAATTAGAACTGAATTTAGAAATAGTTTAGAAAAAAATCTTTGCGCTTAACAAACGAAATTATTTATTTATAGGCTAATTGATGTCTGTGCATAAAGGTTTCCCTATCCACGAGAGCAAAAGCGAAAGTGAACTTACTTTATGTCAAAATGCACTTATGGCGCGACGCAGCTGGGTCTTAAAGGGAATAGGAGATGAGGCTCTAATTGGTTTATTCTCAAAACACACCTATAACTCATTAAGAAAATAAACTCAACCCTTTTAGACCATGCGCCATGGCGCAAAGCGGATTTTCCCGTCCTTAAATTAGCAAAAATGCGTTCTGACACGCCCTGAAAGCGTTTGCGCCCTGCGTTTTGCGCTCTGCGCATGGACCGTCAAAATAGAGCCCATCGTCTCAACATAATGAAAACCAGCCAAACACAAAAGTTTTATCTGTACACACTTTAAAGAAATTATGTTTACTTTTTGTTCAAGCTACTTATTTAAAATGAGCTGAAACAACACAATTGTTGAGTTTTTTGGGACATCTTAAATGTTTTAACTTCAATCCACTTAAGTTTTTACAAACTTGTTCATTCATTAATTTTCTTTACGGCTTAGTCCCTTAATAATCCGGGGTCGCCACGGTGGAATGAACCGCCAACTTATCCAGCACATGTTTTACGAAGCGGATACTCTTCCAGCTGCAACCCATCTCTGGGAAACATCCATACACACGCATTCACACTCATACACTACGGACAATTTAGCCTACCCAATTCACCTGTATCGCATATCTTTGGACAGTGGGAGAAACCGGAGCACCCGGAGGAACCCACGCAAACACAGAGAGAACATTCAAACTTCACACAGAAACGGCAACTGGCCCAGCCGAGGCTCGAACCAGAGACCTTCTTGCTGTGAGGCGACTGCATCGCCTGTAAAAACTTAACTTAATTTGTGATTGTGTGGAACCCAGCATTTTTTACAATGTATAATGTTTTCATTCATGTGAAAAACATCCCAAACAGAAGTATAAATCAAATGAAGGTCGATTAAAATTACATTTCTTCAAGTTATTGTATCTTGTGTTTTTCCGTCTTGTTTCATCAGCCCATCTGGCCTGTTAACTTTTACGTATTCTTAGTAAGTCATTGCAGTGCAGTTTGTATGCAAGTGACCAGAACAGAGATATTAATAAATATAAAAAACTAAAATAAAAAAAAAACTAAAATAAAAAAAAAGTTTGGCCAGTCGACCGGTTGATATCTAATGGAGACGCTAATGATTGTGCTTTACCTGGGGAAGCAGTGAGCGGCTGACAGGATCCACTGGTCACTGATGAGCGAACCGCCACAGAAGTGAGAGCCACTCTCATGAAGGCTGGCCTGCCATGGCCATGAGCCAGCAGATGCGTTTGTTCCCCCCACAATCTTTGTGTTGAGAGGAGCTTTGCCACATGCTTCAAATTAGAAGTAAAAAAATGTTAAGAACCATTACAGTGACCGTCTCAAAAGATGTTATTCAGTTGACAATTAATATGTAATGAGTAATTATTTACCAGGGGGACTCTGGGTAGGCTGGCAGTCACACCCTTTAGAAGATCAGACATTACCAGTTAAAAAGATGAAATTCACAGATACAAAAATAACGTACATGTAGCTCATATTTTAAGCTACTCAAAGCTTAAGAAAATAATGTCATTCCAAAAAAAGCACCGTAACTGCATCTGAAATGACTGTGTAAAAAAATATGCATATAATAACTAAAATAAAAATGAAAATGTAAAAAATGATTGTATCTCAATTTATTGTAAATAAATATAATAATTTCTATATGTATTCTATAAAAAGAAAAACTATAAGCAAAAAATCTGTTAGGCTAATTATGATAAATGATCTTTTTGTGTAAAAACTACAATTTTTACTTATTTGACTTATTTTTTTCCCAATTTCTGTTTAACGGAGATAATTTTTTTTCAAGACATTTCTTAACATGTTTTAATAACTCATCTCTAATAACTGATTTATTTTATCTTTGCCATGATGACTGTAAATAATATTTTAATAGACATTTTTCAAGACACTTCTATACAGCTTAAAGTGACATTTAAATACTTACCTAGTTTAATTAGGTTAACTAGGCAGGTTAGGGCAATTAAGCATATTATTGTATAACGACGGTTTGTTCTGTAGACTATCGAAAAAATATACAGCTTAAAGAGGCTAATAATTAAGACAACTTAAAAAAAAATTAAAAACTGCTTTTATCTCAGTCGAAATAAAACAAATAAGACTTTCTCCAGAAGGAAAAATATTATCAGACATACTGTGAAAATTTCCTTGCTCTGTTAAACATCAATTGTGAAATATTTAAAAAAAGAACTTGAACTTCAACTGTATATTTAATAATAATAATACATTTTAATATAAATATTTTAAATTAATTATTATTTTGATAACAGATTTGATTATGAATTTATACTGTAAAGATGAAGGCGATTACCTGTGGACAGGAGGGTGACCACACAGAGCAAGCTCAGTTTCCAGAACATCTTCAGCTTCCTGATTTGAGAGGCGACTCTGAATATTTATTCCCTGTACAGTGTGACGTCTGCACACCTCTCCTCATATTCCTATTTAAGCTGCAGGCACACCTAGATGAAAAGCACAATCATTCTATACACAATGAAAAACATTCTGAAAAAGATTCTGTCACATTAAATGACCAAACCTGACAGTCAAAATGACATATCAAGCTTGTCAAATGTGAAATGCATGTATTCCCATAATGTTTCTTCTTCTGGAGAAAGTTTTGTTTGTTTTATTTCAGCTGGAAAAAAGTTAGTTTTTATTTTTTTTTCCAATATTATCAGCCTCCTTAAGCAACATTCATCTTTTTGATTGTTTTTAAGCTGAATACTAATATTTAAAAAAAAAATTCTAGTAAAATATTATTTACTGTCATCATGGCAAAGATAAAATAAATTAGTTATTAGAAATGAGTTATTAAAACTATTAAGTTTAGAAATGTGTTGAAAAAGTTTTCTCTCTGTTAAACAGAAATTAGGAAATGAAAAAAAATATATATGTATATACAGTGTAAAATATTATGATTCATTAACATATTAAGTGAAAAAAGACAGTAGCAATATTCATCTTTATCATCCTCATTATTTTATACATCATCATTACTCTAAAACTCTCCCTACAGATATCACAAAATCTACAGGTTCACATATTTGCTTGCCGGTGAAACTAGTTTCCCAGGTTTTTTCTTTCTTTCTTTTTCATAGAATACCGCAAATCTTATGCAGGCTGATAATAGAAGCTGAAACAAGGTGTGTCCACTTTTTCAGTCTGCTCATAATGGACTTAAAAGTGAGGTCTTTGTGTGTTAAGTGTGCAAAAGTGCAGGGTTGAAAATAAATGACAAGCAATGCCAATGAAATGAAATCTTTCATGCCATCGCAAAGGTTTCTTATATAACGATGATTTGAAAAAGGACACAACATCAACATATATATTTATTGTTTATTTGATTTCTTTTAAACATCTTGCTTTAGGAAAAAGCTTCTTGAGCGTTTAGTTGCATTTTAAGATTACGCTGTTAGTAAATTCATATTACAAAAGTAGCCAAAAGTAATGTCTAAAAGAGACTTAATTAAATAATATAAGATTTAATGTACTTTAATTCTAGTTTAGTTAAGTAACCAAAATATGCTAAACATTTTTACTGAGAAGAGGAAAATGCTAAACCAGTTTAGGTATTTCACAAAATTATTTGGCAACAAGCAGATTATAGTGTTTTATGTCTTATGTTTTACTGAGAATATACTACAAAATGTATTTCATAAACTTAAATAAGGGGTTATACAAGTAATTATTAAACTAGTAATTCATGCACCTAATATGTTCACTTGTAATAATATTGAAACACAATGAAAAAGAATTTTGTGCTTGTAATTTGTAAACAAATGTCTAGTGCAGTTAAAAATTTAGACTTTTCATAAATCTCATAGGAAATGACTGTTATCCAAATTAACAGACAACATTAAAGATGAACAGGCAAGTTTTTTTCAGAAGTATACAGTTAAAGTCTGAATTATTATCCCCCCTTTGATTTTTTGTTTGTTTTTTAAATATATTCTCAAATGATGTTTAACAGAGCAGGGAAATTTTCACAGTATGTCTGATAATATTTTTTCTTTTGGAGAAAGTCTTATTTGTTTTATTTCGGCTAGAATAAAAGCAGTTTTTTTACTTTTTTAAAAAACATTTTAAGGTCAATATTATCAGCCCCTTTAAGCAATTTTTTCGATAGTCTACAGAACAAACCATTGGTATACAATAACTTGCCTAATTACCATAATCTACCTAGTTAATTAATCTAGTTAAGCCTTTAAATGTCACTTTAAGCCGTTTGGAAGTGGCTTGAAAAATGTCAATTATTATTTACTGTCATCATGGCGAAGATAAAATAAATCAGTAGAGATGAGTTATTAAAACTATCATATTTAGAAATGTGTAAATCTTCTCTCCGTTAAACAGAAAATAGGGAAAAAATAAAAAGGGGGGCTACTAATTCAGGGGAGCTTAAAATTCTGACTTGAACTGTATAATCTGGTTGTGTTTATTGTTTTTCTGTTTAAGTTAAAGAGCATCCTCATTCCTAGTGCACAGGTGTCAAAGCCAGTTCCTGGAGGGCCGCAGCTCTGCACAATTTAGTTCAACTGTGCTTCAACACACCTGCCTGTAGGTTTCAGTCAAGCCTGAAGGACATAATTAGTTTGATCAGGTGTGTTTAATTAGGGTTGGAACTAAACTGTGCAGAGCTGCGGCTCTCCAGGAACTGGATTTGACACCTGTGCGCTTGAGTTAAACAAGTACTGCAGAGATAGTAAAATAGTCAGAAACAGCTGCGTAGAGAAATTAACCCTTTAGGATTCCTGTTTTCTATTGGTGGTAATGGTTGGAATGCATGCAATACTCTATGCAACACAACACTGCAGTAAGTTCAACTTAAGACACAAGTGTTAGAGCAAAAAAAATTATAAACGTGTTTAATGAGTCAAACAAAAGTTGTGAGCAGATATTGCAGATAAGGTAATACAGTTCATGCGGTTTTCAGGAGATACCAGAGAATCTTTACAATGACTGATTGGATACAGGTTTAGCTAGATTGTAATCACTGATTGATTGCAGAAAGAACCTGTCTTGACTGCTTAAGACAACAAAACTAGAAATTCATTTTTTTTTATTTGATCTCATCAAATAATTCAATATTGAATTTCAATCAATAATTCAAAAATTATTTAATAAAACTTTTTTTTTTTTATTGCGCGATTAATCATTTTTCAAGTATTGTTTGGTGGCATACATTTTGGATGCTTGGTTGTTATCAACTATTGGCATAATAATTGTTATAACTTTCATTTGGAACATCAAGTTGCTTCGAAGACATGATTTTACCGCTACATACATTTCTAGAGAGCACCAAAGGAGCTACGTTTTTGACTTACTTACTGACTGAATGACCTATTGACTGACCCACCCTCCTCCTTCCTTAAACCCAACAGATGTGTTTTCAAAAGCACTGATTGACCCGCCCACCCAAAATAAACCCAGGTTTTAGAAAGCAATCCAGAAAAAGAAAAGCCCTTGCCTGATTTTTACCTTCTTTTCAGATTTGACCACGTTCTCATCCTGTTATTTACTTGTTTATTTTATTTTTTGGCTTCTGTTTTTGTCTTAGATGACTTTTGGAACTGTTCTTCGCATGACACAAACCCCATCAACTCCTCACTGTGTTTCAAGTCCACCGACTTACTGCTACTGGACAAACTGGTAACAGCAGGAAAGCCGTACATACGGACGTTAGCGGTCAGCTGGTAAGCACGAAAAGGAACAACATCATCCACCCTGTAGCGTTCGTTTTAAAGAACAAATGATGCCATACATACTCTTTGCTACATAAGTCACGATGTCCAGAAATGTATATAGGTGTACATTTTTTAGAATGAGCCTATTTAAAATGTATAATAATAAATAAAAAAGTTTAAAATAAAATTAAATAAAAAAGAAGGAAGGAAGTTATGAAGGGAGGTCATGTGAAGCGGTACATTCAAATCTGTGCTTAACCCAAAGAAAGATGCAGTCTTCAGTTTTTTCAACCATTATTATCAGTCATCAGTCATTGTTAACAATGAAATAATCACAGAAGGATGACAAGTTCTCCTGAAAATCTGAAATGCACTGGACACTTTACTATCCATGAGTATATAGGAGAGGATTTGTAAATATAAAGCTGCAGTCACACTGGGCTTTTCCTCCCATAGACTTCCATTCATACGCACGCGAATGGGTCAGACTGGAAACGCGGGGTCATGCGTCAAGTTTTGGAGGTTGCTGCGGTGCAAAGTTCAAGCTTGGTGAACTCTGGACGTGTGAAATCGCATCACTTGTCAGCTTGAGACCAATCGAGGATTAAAACATGACCTCTCTGGACAAAAATTTAAAATATGGAGCAATCGCTCGCTTTTTAAATGTCTAATCATCTTGTTTAATCCCGCCCCTTTTCGGAACGCCATACATCAGAATTTCGCACACACAAACTCTAGTGTGACCGCAGCTTAAGTAGAGTGAAGAAAAAGGTGAACACTGTTAATGATTTTTGTAAATGACATAGTATTTAACTGTAACCGCACTTTACTGTAAGACAGCAATGTGGTATGTTACTATATTTTAAAGTTGCATTGTGAAAATTACTGTATATTTTAAAGCAAAAATATAGAATACTATAAATGCATATACAGGAAGATAAATGATGCTGTAATTTATTTACAGTAAGTTACTGGCGAACTGCTGCTAGTAAGTTACTGTAGATTCTACAGCACATTGTGAACAGTGCTGGTTGCTCTTGTGATAATGACAACATCATAATTACATTCAGGTGATTCATATTAATATTATATAGAACGTTTCTAACAATCCACATGTAATACAAGCTTTTTGATGCACCACTATTGTTTTAAATGTTCATTGACATGTTTTGTCCTTCGATTAATATCTTCTTCTTGTCTTTCTTCTCTGTAGTTTTGTTGCTTTCAGGTTTACTTCTAGTTTTGGCTTTGTGTAAAAACATTTCTTGGATCCAGTTCTGTCCTTCTCTGAACTTCCCATTGTTAGAAAGAAAAAGCACCTGTCACAAAAGTATGAGAACATCTTGATTTGTTTAACATGAACTTGTTTTTGTTGTCGTAACACAATAGACAGGCATGCTAGATAAAACAAGATTAAAATGTTATTAGGCAACAGTCGTATATCAGCATATTATCATATTCATATTATCTTATGCCTTTGGTATGAACATATTTTAAACCTCTTGGATTTGATTTTACAGCCTGGCCAACAAGATGTTTTACTTTATTAATTATTTATAAATTAATCAATGTTTATAACAGCAGCAATAAAAACAATTAATATAAAATTTAAATAAAATCATAAAATCGCAGGCAATGCGGTGGAGCAGTGAATAGCACAATCGCCTCACAGCAAGAAGGTTGCTGGTTTGAGCCCCGGCTGGGTCAGTTGGTTTGCATATTT